GATATATTAAATACATAAAATTAATTAATTATGCATGTTTAATTGGATTAGAACATAGGTTTTATGAATTTGGTTCAGATCTGTTCCTGTGTTATGAATTGATAAATGCATGATTTTGATTTGATTTCTGGTGTGAATTTTTACATGTTTAAATTATGTATTTTTCATATCTGTGAAATGATGGAATGTAGAAACATGCCTAGGATTCCTGAACATTAAATAGGAACTAGGTTTAGGTTTAAATAAATTTAAATAGACTCAATCATAATGATGTTTGCTATTTGAATATTTTAAACAAACGAATGGATTTAATCCTTTAAAATATTTTAGCAATTAAGATTAAATGTGTAGGATGAATTGGATATGGAGAATGCTTATTTGACGGTATAATAAAATATCATCATGTATAAGATTCAGTTTGTGTAGGACATATGATATAGCAAGCTTAAATAAATAATAAGTCATTCCTATTTTGTGATAACTGATATCATATTATCATAGTTATTTCTGGATTGTTTAATGTATTTCCTTAATCGTTACATCAATTATTGGATTGTGTGGTTTAATGCACCGGTATGGGACGGTGGCATTTTAGGGACGGATTAACTTATCAGTTAAGTCCTACCTATTTTATATAAGGGAATTGATTAACTAAAATGTTAAGTCCTACTTATATTCAAGTTAGGTCAGCTGAACAAGTTGAATGACTTATGGAGGATTAATTTATTATATAAGGGAATGGATTAATTAAAATGTTAAGTCCTACTTATATTCAAGTCAGGTCAGCTGAACAAGTTGAATAACTTATGGAGGATTAATTTATACTGGATATGATGGTTACTAGATTATATATATAAGTATGGGGCCATGATATGAGCTTGAGTCTCAGGATCAGTGGTTAGGGCGCGTATATCGCTAGGGATGTGTAGCTAGATATAGTGTAGTTGTGTACCCTGGTAGGTCTGGTACTCATAGCCACTATATGTGCGTTTTGCATGTTGCCTACTATTCAGATTGAGACAACCCTGTAGTCTATTGAGGTTCATTTAGTGTGTGTATATATATATATATATATATATATGGACTACTAGTTACTGTTGGATTGATTAGGATGTATACGTGTATCAGATCTCTGCTTGGACTGTAATAAAGTAGAACTTGTTTGTGGGCCTGACCCACCATTATTTTTCAGGTGTTCGTCAGGAGTAGAGGTTGTTCGTGCTGAGCGAGGATCAGTCTACTTCATTATTCCGATGCTACATAGGAATTCCTTTATGATTCAGTTTCTTGATTTAGACAGTTATTACTGTCATTTGTTTAGTTTGGATTTTCTAGGGGTCCACACAGTATAGATTCCCGAGTTGTATTTTGGATGATCAGTTGTATCAGAAAAGTTTATTAATTAATGGAAATATATTCTGAGGTTTATTATTAGATTATCATTTTAGTTTCTTGTCAGCATTTTATTTATTCTTCTTTATTCTTTTGTACTCTGTGTTCGTTTATTGCCGATTCGTTTTTGATATCCTCGGGTGTTCGGGCGTGGGCCTGAACAACCCGCATTCGGAAATCTGGGGATATCACATTATCCTTATTATATATGAAATATTTACCCAAAAAAAAAAAAAAAACTTTACTATTACTTAGTTGCAAGAATCTCTTACAAATATTTTTATTAAAAAAATTCTCTCAAATATCATAAAGGGGTCTTTGAAGTATATAATATGTGCTTATTTAAACTTACCAACAAAAATAAATAATGATAATTTGATATTTATTTAAATAAAAGATCCACTCTTTTATAAATGTCAAATTTTCTATGTCTAATGAGTGTTACTATGAATATGTATAATAAATTTGAGAATGCCCCTCACGTGCAAAAAAACACACCTAAAGTGACAAATTTAAATCATAAGTTGACTATTTTATTCATACTTAATTTTTTTATAAAATATATAAAAATAAATAATTTTATAAAATGATAAAAAATGACACTATTGGACGACGCGGGCGATAGACAAGTAAAAATAAAAATAGAAGTATAAAAGAAAAGTAAAGATAAAATAAAAAAAATAAAAAATAAAAATAAAGTGCAAACTAAAGAAAACAAATTTGGTTCAAATTTCGAAAACTAGTGCACACTGATATTGTGATTTTTTATTTTTATTTTTTTAATAGTGTTGGTACGAAAAAGGAAAATAAAATAAAAAATAGTAGAAAACAGTAAATTGAAATCTCAAAAAATTCAAATAATTGTTCTACAAATTTTCAAAGTTTCAAAAAAAAAGAAAAGAAAAAAGATATATATAAAGAAAAAAGTTTCAATATATATATATATATATATATATATATATATATATATATATATAACGTATTGTGCACATAACACTGTTATACTATGAGATTAGTAGCATATCTAACTCCTTGGACATTTTCAAAAGAGTAAAAGGATAAAACGAGTATTACAACATTAATTTATGTTAGATTTCTAATTGAGGGGTATTTTTGTACAATATGAAAAAAATTAAGAGTATTTTTTGCATACTTTTTTAAATAGAAATAAAAATATTACCCGTAATATATTATAGGGATATTTTTTGAACTTGTCCCTATAAATTTCTTAGTGTTATTGACATTTATAATTTCATATTGTTACTACTATTTTCACCCTTAACCTTGGGAGTGCAAAAAAAACCTTTACTACTAGTAAATGGACCAATGGTTCAGGATTGGTTTGAGGTGAAAAAGAAAAAATTAAACTAACATAAATTAAATTGTTTGTGGTAATTTTGTGTGTGTGTGCGCGCGCGTGTATATAGACATTAAATATATGTAGATTTAGGGGTAAAGAATATAACTTGCCATGGCTGGAAGCCGAGTGAGAGCAAATAAGTGGGGACCCCTACAGACGAAAAAGAAAAGAGTGTCAGAGTTCACAAGCACACCCCTACAGACGAAAAAGAAAAGACTGTCAGAGTTCACGTGCTTGTGCACGTGCTGGTAGCCACGTGGAGATCTATGTCCTGGGTGGCATGTGGACCCACTTCACTTTCCTCTTTTGTCTCCAATTGATCCGACACATTCCTTTTTCCAATCATTGGATACTCTCACTCACGTTAATGAAATTACTTTTTTAGCCCTTCTGTTATTTTATTTTATTTTTTATTTAAGAAATTCAAGCAAACATAATACTCCGTATAATGTAACACAACGTTGCTCTCATCCTTTGGAATAGCTGTGAAAAAAAGTATAGAAAGTAACTAATAAACTTTCTTTATTTAATAAAGAAGAAATAAATAATGAGAGAAAAGTATGAGAGATGAATCATTCTTTATAAATTTTTATTCTTTAAATATGGATAGAAAGAGAAGAGGAAAGACAAGTGCATGTTATACAAGTTTTAAAGTACAATATTATAATAAAATATATTATGAAAATAATATCATGCAAGCTTGTTTCTTTATAATAGTGTTATGTGAACGGACTCTTGGATAACAATTTTTAACCACTTGGATAACACGGTACTTGTGATTAATATTGATTAATGAAGACAATTTTTATCTACATAACGTGTGTGCGCGCGCGCGCGCAATGTGCACCATTATCCATATGATCTAGGGTTATAATTGAACAAAACTTTCAACAAACAACTCGAACTCGGCTCGATAAAAGCTCGACTCGTATTTGTTTGATTAGTAATCGAACCAATCTCAAATAGATTTTTTAAACTCATTTCGTAAATAAACTAATCTCAAACAACTATGAACTCGGCTCGAATATGTTCGCGAACAAGCTTCTTTAAAATGTGAATAATAATATTATAGTTAAGTTGGCTTTTTTATTTTGTGAATCAATTTAACATTACATGTAATACAAAAAAATATATTTCAGCCCAAGACAACCTAAACCCAAAAATATAAAATAAACCATTTAGAAAATAAAAGACCTAACCCAAACAAATTTAAAAGTCAAATCTAAAGCCCATATTTTTTAAGCCCACCTATATAAACACATTAACTATCAAACCACTCCTTTCCGCCAAATTGGCAAGCACCCAAGCACTTATCAGCAAAAGTATCCAGCTCTCCTTCACTGTTATCTCTCTCCCTCTCTCTCTCTCATATGGTCTGCACACCGAGGGATAGATAGGTTGTATGTATACACATAGATTCATATATGAAGATGGATAGATCGGTGGTATGTATACACACTTAGCGATATCAGATTCCTACTTCCCGAAGAGAGGTCAGGAGTTCAGGTCTCGTGAGTTCGATTCCCGCTATCCGCCCAGGATCAAGTAATTTATTTAATATGATAAATGATTCGGTATAGTTGGTGTGATAGTGACGTAGTTCTATCCCCCCTTCCTTCCCTCCCACCCCAAAATAAAAAGTGGTAATTAATTACTAGTTAACAGAGTCAAACCTCAATTTTTTTTGTAAAAAAATGTTGCGGAGACAGGATTTGAACGATAAGAAAAAATATATATATATGGTTTTTTTTTTTGAAAATGAATTGAATAATTTTGTTTTTGTATGTGTGTTTACAAATATTCATATATGCAGATTTACTATTAAGTTTTTATTTTTTGAAATAGTTGGTTGAATTTTATGAATTTATTTATTTTAATAACTAACGAGTACTCGAGCTCGGCCAAGCATTGCCGTGCAGAGCCGAGCTTGATGGGGCAGCCAAAGCTCGAGCATGCCTTTTTCTGTGATGAGCCGAATCCGAACACTCCAAAGCTCGGCTCGGCTTGGCTCAGCTCATTTACAGCCTATCCATTTCCATAGACAAGGTTTTTTAACCCCTTCTTGGGTCCATAATCCAAATCAGGCCCAACAATTACAGATGGTGTGGGCCAGGTGCAACATTTAGCCTACTCTCATATTCCGTGCATCAAATGTAGGGAGCCCAGCCCATATAGGACAAGTCCATCAATTAAATATCGGGCCGAGATTGGACCGCCTCAGCTTTTAAAAGTTGCAACCCAGTGTTCTGTGTCGCGTTGATGAACAAAAGCTAAACAAACCCTAGAGTAGACTGTAGAGTAATGAGTCTCTCTTCTCTCTCTATCTCGTGTTGCAGCCAAACAAACCCTAGTAGGGTCACTTCAGTAATATCACCCCAGTTGGCATTAAGCGTTCTCTAGTTCTACTGTTCTACATAATATGTTCGACATAGCAGAAGAGGAGAGACTTTCCTAGAAAATAATGGTAATTTTCATTCATTTTTTGTTTTTGGGTTTCATGCTAAATGTTTATTGATACTTTGTCTTGAAACACTTGCGTTTTACATGGTACTCTCTTTTTCCTAATTTTTTAGTCTCTTTTCACATATTTGGTTGAAATTTCTTTCGTTTTTGTTCAAAGCCTTTTTGATTGCTTCCCACTCGTCGTGGGTTTGAGCAACAGAGACTTGAATGTATCCAAGTATGGCCGTTCACACAGCCGTGGCCATCTCTCTTTAGTCTGTTTGTCTCTCTCTCCCTCTTTATGACCGTCGAATTTTGCCGAATGTGTTGATGAATTTTGTTTCTGCTTTAATTTCAGTAGTTCATGAATTTTGGTTCTTTATCTGATTTGTGGTGAAACATGCACTAATTTAGCTGCAAAAATTATGGGGGAGAGCTACGTCTTTATGTTTAAAAGCTTTTGCTTCTTCTTTGAATTTTAAGCAAATTATTGTGCATTCAATCCATTAGAACCCCAGAAATTGTGTTTCAGTGTCACAAGAATTTGAATAAATAATAATTGTACCATGGTTAATTAGAATGGGTGTTTGTAGTTATAGTAGGTTGTTGATGAGTTGCCACTTATATATTGAATAATTGATAAATTTTAGTGTTTTATTAGTAATTATCAATATGGGTTTCGCTGATTGCATACGTTGATGAAGAAATATGATTAATGCTTGGATTATAGGCATTCAAAATGGCGAAATCTTCAAAGTGGGCACGAGAAGTACAAGAAAGTGATACTGGTTCCGAAGGTGAAAGTGATATGGAAAACGAGATGCTAAATGTTAGTCAAAATTTGAGTTTTTCAATTTAGTCTCTGTTAGTGTTTCCTTGTGTGTTTCTTAGTTGTGGTTTTTTATGATTTAGGTGGCGAATGAGGAGGATGATGACGGGTATGATAATGTTGATGAGAGTGATGATTCTGACGAAGAGAGTGTGGAAGAAGATGAGGAGGAAGATGATGACGACGACGAGCAGAATGATGATCAAAAAGGTGCTGAGATGGAAGAACTCGAGAAAGAGTTAACAGATCTCCGTCACAAAGAGCTGTAAGACTCTTTTACAAATAATAGTACTCACTCCGGAGTAAATTTTACATGGACGTTGTTGCTAAGATGAATCTGAGGTTAATACCTAGGATTGACTTCATGTGAATGGTGCATGCTTGTAGTTTTTCCATTGTACTGTTTAAACGTGAATTTTTTACAAAAACAGTAAGCGCATGGCATGGCACAACGGTATTTTCATCCATACTAGCTTCAAGTAGCGACTATGAGAAGAATAGGAGAACAACCATCACAAACATGCTAGATAATCTTACCCTCGTCATATCTTTGTAGTGATATTGTAATTGGTGAAACTTACTTTTGTTATTATCTTATATAGTAATTCAAGATTGTTAAGGTGCTATTGTAGAACTTGGACGGCTAATTATTCTGACATCCCAGTGTGTCACCGACAACACATACATGCATTTTGTGAGCAACACTAATTATTAATGCACATAAAAAGAAAAAAGAGAAAAACAAAAAGTTCATGTGTAGGTTTCATATGTTAGTATGCTAGTAATTACACACATGACAATTTTTGTTGCATGTGCTATTTGTCGCCTGATGCTTGTTTTTTTTTTTTTGTTTTTTTTTTCCTGACATATATTTTGAAGAATATGAAGAAGGATCATAAGATTAAATCTTGTATGCATATGCATCCACTGTTGTATATATAGTTTGACCTTTTCCCCATTTTTGTTCAGAGATCTTTTAAGGAATTTAAATCGTCACAAGGATGAGGATCTTCTAAAAGGTCAAGCAGTCAAAAATCAGAAGGTATGATTTTTGTGATCTTGTACTTGATGGCTTCTCATGCAAAATCCTGTTCCAGTCTCCATCTGAATGGCAGAAATTTTAGTAGTGATAATGTTTCTTTTATTTAATTTCTTGGTTTCTCTGATAGAGGTTATAAATGTGTTTTTTATATTCACCAATCACCATCACTTGCTATTTGTTGGTTGTGTCATTTTTTGTCATGAACTTAATGTGAAAGTGCCTAGATGCTTGACCATTACCATCATTATCAATAAGAGTAACAGAATTTATTCTTTAATCGATACCAATTTATATCTTGATTGTTTCTTTTTGTTATTGTAGCTTTCTGATATCTTTTGCTAAAGCATTTTTGAAATCTTTTCTTTTATGTTTTAATTTTTTTTTTTTCTTTCTCTTTTCCCTTGAAGGCTCTCTGGGACAAGACTCTTGAGTTCAGATTCTTACTGCAAAAAGCATTCTCTAGTTCAAATAGACTTCCTCAGGTGTTTTGGTTATTAATTTTTACTACTATCTATTCTAGATTTATATAATTTTGCAACTTTGTAGTTGAAATATGATAAATATTCTACAGGAGCCATTTAGGTCTTTGTTTTGTGATTGCAATAATGGTGTCAAAGAAGCATATTCAGATTTGATCACCTCATCTAATAAGACTTTGGATTCACTACTGGAATTACAGGAGGTACGGTTGTAAGAAATCATATTCCCCGCCTCAATTTAGTTTTTTGTTTTCTTAAATGGATTCTAATAATGTAAGTTGTAACAGGCTGTTGATGCATTTATATGGCTGTTTAATAATATGTACCTGTTACTCTTTGTTTCCAACGTTTACATGATGTTATATTTGTTTTGACAGGCATTATTTGAGAAGAATCCATCTATTGCACAAGCTACAGATGGTATGGCATGTAGTTTTATATCATTCTCATTCTGAAATTTGAGTGGAGTTTTAGGTAGTTAGTTCTTTGCAAATCAAGCAATAAAATTTTGAAATCTTTGTTCTTTTCACTCACTCATTGTTTATGTTGAATGTCTTATTGGGAATTCTTCTTTTAAGTTTATCATGAAGCTTGGGAATTTATTTTATGTTTTTCCTATAAACCTTGGGAAAATATTTGTACGCCAGTTGTACTGATCTTTTTTCCTCTATTGGGGAAAAAAAGAAAAAAAGAAAAAGAAAAAAAAAAGAGAGGAATGGGAATAAGAAGAAGCTAGCATTGAAAATTTGAAGGAAACAAGTAACTAAACTACAATCTTTCGTTCATTTTTCATTCATTTTCGTTATTTGCTTTCTTTTTCGTTTGGATCAATTGATTTAGGGTTTCAAAATAGGGATTTACGTACACATTTTCTAGAAAAGTTATACCATTCAACATGCCCTATAACTTGCAGAGAACATAATTTCGTTGAAAATAATTTTTATGAAAGTAACCAAAACAAAAACTATTTTGTTTTGGCATTTTACTCTATTAACTAGAATGAAAATGATCACACTTTGATTCTGCTGGACTCAATCCGTGAAGCTGTGTATAATATTTATTTTCCATTTCTGACTACTAATATGGGTATGACCAAGGAATGAAAACGGGCATTACTTTGTCTTGACATCGGTTTAGATCTTGTTTGGTTTTATTACAACTGTGCGGTCAGATAGTCAGTCTTGACATTACTTTCATTGTTTGGTTTTATTACACTTGTGTGGTCAGATAGTCATTGTTTTAATGTCCCTAAATATGTGCCCCTTTTTTGTATAATAAGTAATAACTATATCAGTGCCCTCAACATCCATTTCTGGTTGTGAAATCTAATGCACAATCTTATATTTTTTGACTGCAAGAGCATTGAATTCTTTTGCGTGCTGACTTATAATTGATTATTAGGTATTATTGTTTTCAATTTTCAGGTCATGTTGACATTTTGTAATGCACCTTTTCTCGTGCACATTTCTTTTCCAGTAATTTAAGAACTCAAAATTTAATCATCGAAACACGTCTTCTATTCCTTTTTTAATGGCCAGTTGGTAACTTCACTGATGAAAAGATGTGCATATTGTTTATAGATATTGAGTATTTTTTTTAATTATCATTTGAATTAATTTGTGAAAGAACAACTGTTTAAAATGAAATTCTTTGAAACCAATAGAACATCTTTTAAAGCATAAAACATATGTAGAATCATTTTACACAATCAATTTTGGGTGGAAACTCCACATAGGGCAGCATTGTGTTTTTATAGAATTTTGATCGTATTTCCTTAAATTTCAAAATTTTTGCGATATGGGTCATAGTGGTAATTAGATGGTTAGAAATTCCATCCTTTGTAATTCAATCATATATGCTTTAATCTGTTACTGTTAAGTTTAGGATTAATTTAAGGAAAACTGAGACACAGAGGAGCCCTGTTTCCATTTATTTATACCACGAGCGTTGCTTTAGTGCGGCAATTAATTATTGTTAACAACCATCTAATCTAAAAGCTTAAGCTATTAGAGAGGGTGTAACTTTAATATTTAAAACCTTCAACACGCCCCTCCTCACGTGTTGGACCAAAAAGAAGGCCACACGTGGGGTCGAGTTGAAAGTTTTAAATATTAAAGTTACACCCTCTCTAATAGCTTAAGCTTTTAGGGTAGATGGTTGTTAACATGATTTTAGAGCAGGCAGGGGGGCACGTTGAAACCCTGATAATTAAAATTGAAACACGTGTTGGACCGAAAGAATTGAAACACGTGTTGGACCAAAAGAAGGCCACACGTGAGGGGGTGTGTTGAAGGATTTAAATATTAAAGTCACACCCTCTCCAACATCTTAAGCTTTTGGAGTAGATGGTTGTTAATACCTAATAACATGATTAGATTTTTTTCTCCTATTTTCAGCTGGCCTACAATCCTTTATCTCTAAAACCTCAAACAGTGTTGAATTTTTTTAAATAATGGTAGATCTATTTGAAGCATTAGTCCTATCCTGGCTTTTGTAATTCAGGGGTTTATAAAATTATGGAATTTTTGGTATTAAAGTGCTCAACTTTCAAACCAATTTATAGTATCATTTTTCTTTGTTTACTTAGATAATTATGACGACGAAGATGATTCTGTATTTTATACATATGTTTCAATGAATGTTGATTTAGCATATGCTTATTTGGACATTTTTCTCAAGGTAATTCTGGGAAATCTTCCAAGCATTCCGAAGCTTCTATGAATTCAAATGTGGAAGGTGATGAAGAATGGTCACAGATTTCCCAAATGCAGTTGAGGTATTTAAACGTTCCACTTGATACTGATTGCTTCTTTTTTTAATCACATTCTGCTTACAATCAATCATGGATGAAACCTTTTAGAATCATGGGAGCTACTAGTGGTAAAATGCCCATCGAACTTGACTTTTCCACGTAGAATTAGCGACATGTTGTTTTTTACATGCTTCCCATTATGCCAGTAAAAAAGACATTTGAAGGGACAGGCAATCAGCTTCAATTTTCACTCTGACCCCAGAAAAGAGAGAGGGGTGATAGGGTGGATGGTGTTCAGTTGACTTGTCATAGTGGGTTCTAGCCTCACCATCTAAGATCAATTGGTGATTATATTATGAGATTTGTCCTGTTCCTTTTTTCTTCTCATGCTGTATAATCCGGTTGAAGACTTCTCTTCACATATCTTTTAACTAAAATGGGGTGGCAGAAAATTATTGATTGTCTTGTTACATCTTATTTGAGATATTTACATTTAGAACATGCTACTGCTTCTCATGCTTTGACATATTAGATTGCATTTTGTTTTTTCTAAATTTTTATCAATTTTATGTGTGCATTGCTACATATTTTGTGCAATTTATGCTCTGTAATTCTGGTAGTTTTGAGTCAAATCAGACTGTTAACACTCCTATGTTATAGGATAGCTTCTTTTAGAGACAAATCGGTAGATAAATGGCAGAGAAAGACACAGGTGACAACTGGTGCTGCAGCTATTAAAGGCAAATTACAAGCTTTCAATCAGGTTTGCTTCTAGGATCAAATGACATGCTTTGCACTGTTACTGCAATGAGACTCACCTATTTGTATATTGTCCTACAGAATATTAGTGAACAAGTGGCTGCTTACATGAGGGATCCAAGCAGAATGATTAAAGGGATGCAACAGAGAAGATCAGCTGCTGCTGTATTTGGGACTGTAAGTTCACGAGTCTCCTAACTTTCCCTCTTTCCTTGATTTTGCAATAAAAGAAGTTCCTTGTAATCTGATTATTTTGCATTTTAAGCTTTGCTTTTTTCAAGTTTTATCTTTGTGTTGATTACAATCTATTGTTAATGGGCAGGTGCCGGACGCAGTTGGCAATGCTAAGGAAGAGGTTTTAATATATTCTGCTCTGTTGACTTTAATTAGTCAATCTCCTCCAAAAGAAGAATACATGCACTTATACACACACACACACACGTACGTACCAAAAATAAAAATAAATAAGATTCATTTTGTCCGGACTATTATATGAGAGGTTCATTTTGCTGGGCATCAAATTCATCAGAAAAGTTCTAACTGAGAATGTTCTGCAAATGGAATCCTTCTTTAGGGCATCTTTGGTCATCCCAAAAGATTGGCTTGTTTCGAATAAGAACTGAAAGCATATATTTAATTTTTAAGGAGGACTGATTACAGAAATCAGAACTCTCAGCATAGATGGTGGTAGAAAAAGATCATATTAAGGGTTTCCTGAAACTACATTTTGTCGACTTTTTACCTTAATTTGTGTTGTTAGCTCCATTTTCTGCAATGTCTATTCTAGTGGAATGATTCATACCTTTTTTGGCTGTATGAAACATGCAGTACAACAATTCAATTTCCTCGGGATGTGTGAAGATCTCCTACCAAAGAGTTGCTTTGGTTAAAATATGGATAGAAACACTAAAAACAAATACTGTTTCATGATCTATTTGGGGCATAGAGTAGCTTTCTTAGGTGAACAAATTAAGGTTAACTTTGTTGTGTACACTTGTTAAAATGGAGGCAGTCTGGAAAATTTATGATAATTGAGAGTTTATATAGGTTGACGGTGACTGTTTGGAATTGAGGAACCCTATGAAACCTTAAATTAATTGTATACAATAAATTTTGGTTATTGCTTTCCTTTCTTTTAATTCCCCTGGCGGGGCGGGCGTGATCTGGAATGTTTAGTTTCTTTGATGGCTCTAGTGAAGCAAATTGACTTCCATGGGTCGTCCAAACAGCCCAAGGCTCATGGTAGAATGTGTTAGTCATCATATGTCACTAAATTCAGAACAGGAGATATAATTTTCTTTCGTGGGAATAACTTTTTTAACTAAATATTATGTCAAGCTGATTCTCTCTTCCAACTCCTGTATGCTTTTGGTATTTATTTATCTCGAAAAAGAGAGAAAAGATTCTATTAGGTGACTAAATGTTTGTTTTCTTTGTGAAATATGATGGCTGTCATCAATTGTTGGATATGGTATCAGCATTGTTATTCTATGTACCAAAAGAGACATTAATTCCTTTAATTCTGATCAGGACTTGCAAGCAGATGGTGACCCTGAACTTCTGGATGACTCTGAATTTTATCAGCAATTACTGAAGGAATTTTTTGAGACATTTGACCCAACTTCATCTGGTAAACTTCTCCAGCATTTCACAATTCACACATTAGACACTACAATTTAGAGAAATAAAACACGTGGGACATGCAAAACGTGACATTTTTATTGGTTTTTTAATTGCAGTTCTTACACGGTTTGCATTACTTAACTCTCTATTTATTTTAAGATTTTTAACGTATCATTGTGTTATGCTGTCTGCCTCTGTTCGGCTGCATTATTACCGTAGCAAGTTGCATTTGTCTGACACAGAGTAGTGTTTTCCATTTGTACTCTAGACTCATGTTACACTAATCACTTGTAATACAAATTTTAATGTTCATTAGAAAGGAAAACAACTCACATTCTGCATGATCTTTCTTTTTTTGTTTGTTTGGGGGCAGGCACCTGTAAATACAAATACCCAGGCATAGTTATTTCATATAAACTGGCAGATTTTAGTGAGACTTTTTTTTTTAGCTTCTTATAGGCACAACTTATCCCAGAAGTTGTAGGAACGATAAGACTATAAAAGTACATTATGAGCATATCCTCCTAAAAATGGCCAAGTATCAATGCAAGCTCATTCCATTTCCTAATGCCCTATACCAGCGGTTCCAAGTATTGGTCCTTTGCAAGTTTAAGACTGTTCCTCAAGGGTCGATCTGGTTATCAAACTGGTAACACTGATTAGGTTTTTCATTGTTTGATCATCCACAGAGACTGCCTTTTATGCTCTGAAGAGATTGCAAACTAGGAAAAGAAAGATCGTTGACAGACGTGCCTCTAAGAGTCGCAAGATCAGGTAAAATGTCAATGGAGCTACCCCACTAAATTGTGTAATTTCAAGCTTTCGTATTTTTTAATTTAGTTTATTCACTTTTTCTTCTGGATGATTTTGTAGGTATAATGTTCACGAAAAGATTGTCAACTTTATGGCTCCTCAGCCCATGGACCTTCCTCCCATGGCTCCAAAATTATTTGAAAATTTGTTTGGCCTCAAAACCCAGCAAACTTTCACCGCTGTGTAGCAAATTTAGAGGCAATCAAACTATATGAAAGTCTTGTAAATCACAGGGGTTTGAAATTTTGTTATATTAGTTAGACATGGTTTCTCATGTTCGTTCTGTCCAGTGACTGAACTGTTGTAGAAGGAGAAAAACAATATAAAAGTACCCTGTCAATGGGTCAGGGTACAAATTCGCGTACAAATTGTATAACGAGATCTAGTTTCGAGTCCAATAGATTCAATTCTGTATTAGAAGAATCATTAACATACGGAGTCTCTGAAAAAGAGAAATTGATCTGTAGATTTATATGTATTGTGTGAAAATTTCAGATTATCTTGAAAAAGTATTTTTACATATTGTACTTGGATGGAAATCAGATTTCAGAATTTACATAAATTCAACCATAGAGACGACTTCAAACGTTCGATTTAAAGCAGTTTGCTTCAAACTTCCAAATGAATATCCAAGCCATTTCACGTTGATAACCAAAACAGGCCTTGTTGTCTTAAAAAAGAAGAAGAAAAAAAAAAAAAAAAAAGAAATTTTGTTTTTAGAGAAGTACACAACCAAATGGATTTTCAAAGTAATTTTGCCTTTTTAATTGTCAATGGTTAAAATTCATTCTCTTAATATATAAACACCTTTCCCAACAAAGATTTTGAATCAAAATTGTCAATATTCTTGATGACCTTTTAGAGAGTAGCATAACCTCCTTAGCTCCCTGGTCAAAATGGATTATTAGGGGCCAAATTGCACCAAAGCAAATAGCAAGGGGTTTTGTGCACCAAACAAAACAATAGGGAGTTTTTTTGCACCATTTGAATCGAAGGGGGTGTTTTTTGCACTTTGCTCTTCTATTATTAATATTATTTATCATTTTCAGTCTTCTTTATCCTTTCCAGCCTCCATTGTGCTTTTCCCGCAATCTACACCGAGTAATGTAGGTACTAGGTTAGCCCTTTTACCAGAGATGTAACTTACACACTTTGTCCTTACAGAGACTCGAACCCTTGAGATCTTTTATTTTAGAAGGTGGAGGAAATGTTACACTTAATTTAGTGGATTATGGTGGTAGGCTTTGAAAGGGAGTTTAACCTAAAAGTTTTGGTTCCTGAACCATCACCTCATACATGCTCATCTTCCTTTTCTTTACATGAAGGGGTATATCCCGAACGGTCGTCATTCCCCGATTCATATGCTTGACAATCAAGAGAAGAACAACACCAGGAATGCGTAGTTCTTTAGTCAAATCCTCTACCACCTCCTTATTGTCAGTCATTACCTTGTCCCCTTGCACCAAGTAGATATTAAAATTGGGCTCTTATCATGTCCTTTTACACCACCTTCCCACTCCTAAACTATATCAGTTGGGCACCACACCGACTGCAGACACCAAAAATGCATCACCACCCCCAATCCAACCTCACCACCACCACTTCGGAGTATTCAAAGAACACCTTGCAGAATTTTCAGTCCCATTCAATTTATTTAAAACACTCAAATTGAGTGGTTTGGAGTCTTAAAAACTGGAAACAAATAATATAGTTGTTTTCAATTTCAATCATTGGATGAAATCCAACGTCTGAAATAGATGTCGTGTATATTGCTCCTTGCACACCAAGGAGCAACTGAACGGGACTGTATATATATATATAAATCTCAAAGCCATAAAGTTCATTTTAGAACACTGCACCAAGTGTAATTCCTCTCCAAACATACCTTGGACTATTTTGATTGACACAAATATCCATTTGTCTTGAAAAGGAGGAACTCTTTCAAATATGCAACAAAGCCAAACACTACAAAAGAAAGTTACTGCACATACTTTCAAACAACATTATTCGCAATTTCTACAGTAGAGGTGTGATGAATGCCATAAAAAAATGGGGCCGTATTCAAACCTACATTGGTGGTGCATGGAAAGACAGGCCCTGACAAGCATGAACTTCTTGTGTTGGATAAGCTGGAAACTGTTGTGTGGGATAGGCAGGAAATTGTTGTGGGGGATAGACAGGAAATCGTTGTGATGGATAGGCAGGAACCTGTTCTCTGGGATAGGCAGGAACCTGTTGCCTTGGATAGGCAGGAACCTGTTGTGCAGCAGTAGATGTGAAGATAGGAGCAAGATCTGTTGTATCTTTACTATCACTGGAGAAAGAAAAAAAAAAAAAATCCTCATTAACTTATCCATCTTGAGTAAAGAACATAGGATATAAATTCAAAATAGATGAATACAGATTCACAATGTATACATATGCGCTACTATCTCAAACAATCAGCTTTTAAAAAGCGATCCTTGTAGCTGATTCACACTGCATGGCCAAGTAATTGTGAGGAGCACATGCTCCATCCAGTAAGCTAGTAAATATGAGGTATGTATAAGCAACATGGCTTTATCCTATTCAGATTCTGTGGATAAGCTGGTCAATTTTGTTTTCTCTAGCTAATACATGGCTTTATTAATTTTATTTTTATCGCTATCTTACAAGAAAAGGCTGGCTGTTGCGACGAGTTATAAAGAAATTCTTGCCCTCTGTAACCACACCCATAAAGCAACCAAGTATAACTTATCAAAAAATTAAAATAAAAATTGAAGCAACCAAGTATAATTAATTATAGAGTTAAGTGCATTACACCCCCCTCAACTATGACCAGATTGCACAAAACCCCCCTGAACTAAAAAATACCCCCTAAACTATAGGAGTGTTGCAATTTACCCCACACTGTCAAACAACCGTTAAATAAGAAATGAAATTACCATTCTGTCCATTAATTAAATTACTCGTTTCATTACTTTGAGTGTTGATGTGGCACTTGTAATCCCTATATCAAATCAAAATTTGAGTCATCCTATCTTAATCAATAATTTTGCTGACCCGACAAATAATAATTCCCTCCAATTAAAGGATGGCAACTCAATTACTAATTTAAATGTATTAAAAATACTTGTTTATATATATATATATTTTTGATAAGTAAAAATACTTGTTTATATATATATAAAACAAATTTTCTTCTTGTTTCTTCCCCATCCATGGACGCCATCACCGCCATCTCCCATGGCGACACTTAAATGAAATTTTTTTTTTTGATAAGTGACACTTAAATGAAAATTAAACACATTTATCAACAGATCCAACCCAATTGAAGAATACCCAGATCATTAACAACTTCAATCAACTCAAAAAATCAAGCTTTGTATTATTATAACATGATTGGAAAAGTAATTTAGGGAAGGGCATATTGAATACCAACCAAGATCAACCAAACTAGAGAGAGATCCCAGAAAGAGAGAGAGTAGAAAGAGAAAGTGGTTCAAATAAGCAATGACGAGGAACAAAGAAGACGAACAAAGAACGGAGATTTACAAGAAGAGTGAAGGTTTAAGAGAGGACTATATATGTATATTGTAGTAGCTCTCTGTGTACAATCATGTAAATTCAAATCAGAGACGATATTGCAAATTCACCGACTCCTCCACCTTCCTTGACACCATTGACGAATTGGTCGCCGTCATTCGTGACAGAACTCCCGTGGCCGCTGAGAAGCCCGTCGCCTGCTGCCTCGGCCGCGCCAATGATCTACTCTAACTAGCGATGTTTCAGCTTGAAGACGACTTTCAGATCATTGACTGATTTTTCACCTCTTCATCGTTCTTGTCATCGTCGGAGTTGGAGGTCAAAAAGTGAAATAAAAAAGAGGAGGTAGATTCGAGAGAGAGGGAGTGGCGGCAGCCATATATGGTGGAGCTGGAGGAGGTTCTGAGGGAAGAAGCATCTTTGTGGTGGTGTTGGCCATGGACAAATGATAAAGGTAGTTGGAGAGAGAGAGGACAGCGATATATATATATATATATATATATATATATATATATAAATAAATGGAAATGGAAGAGAGTAATGTATCATAGTTGTTAAAGGCGCCGAAGGCGCGCGCTTGAGGCGCCAGGCGCCTCCAGGCGCCACCTTGGCGCCTTGAAAGGCTTAGGGCGAGGACCTTGTAATAGGCGTGCGCTTTTGGGGCTTAGGCGCAGGGCTACAGGCGCGCCTGTTTGAAAAGTTTTTTTTTTTGATTTTTTTTTGATTATTTTGGTTGTAAGTCTTGTGAGTTGTGACTTGTGTGAGTGACAGACCCATGTGATATATTCAGATATGTTACAGTCACTTTTGTACTTTAAGCTTTTATCAGTTGTCAAAAAAAAAAAAAAAAGCCGGAAGCAAAAAGCAAAAGGAAAAGGGAAGAAGAGAGTAAGAGAGAGAGAAGTACAAGCCGGAAGCTCGTCGGATCTGCTGTCTGCGAAGCCCGGATCTGCAAAGCGCCGGTAAGTTCTTCTCCTTGCTTCTTCTTCTCTCCTTCTTGCTTCTTCTTCTCCTCTGTTTTTTTTTTTTTTTTCTTTTTTCTTTTTTTTTTTCTTCTTCTTCTTTTCTTCAGTTCTCTTCTCTAGGCTCTCCTCGACTCTAGAAGTCTAGAGTCTTGCTTTTTATTTTTTATTTTTTTATTTTATTTTTTTTCTTTGAGCCGAGTCTCGGCTCTTCTTTATTATTTTTTTTCTTCTCGGCTCTTTTTATTTATTTTTCCTTTCCTTTTCTTTTTTTTATTTTATTATTTTTATTTTTATTTTTTTCAGCTCTTTCATTCTTTTTTTTTTTTCTTTTTTTTTTAAAAATTTTTTTTTTTTCTATTCTTCTTCTTCTCGGCTCTCTCTGACCTTCTTTTTAAAATTTTTTTTTTCTTTCTATTCTTCTTCTCGGCTCTCTCTGCTTCTGCTCTTCAACCTCTTCTTTTATTTTTGTTTTTTATTTTTTTATAATCTGAGTTGCTGGAATAAATTGTAATTTACAACTTTCTGTGCTGGAATAAATTGTAGTTTACAACTTTTCAATTCTCTGCTGCTAGAATAAATTGTAGTTTACAACTTTACAATTCCGAGCTGGAATAAATTGTAGTTTACAACTTTACAATTCTGTGCTGCTGGAATAAATTGTAGTATACATATCAGTTGGTATATGCCTATATGGTATCATGCAGTCCATATATGCATATATATTACATCTCATATAGTTGATAAATCTCATATAGAATTTATCATGCAGTGTCCATATATGCCTTTGATTCTTTGAAGCTCTGTAATTTTTTTTTTTTTTTTTTTGTCAGAGTTGTTGTAGACACTGATTACATGATGCTAATCATGTTATTATTTTGTTATCTTGAATTTGATTGTAGTTTGTACTTTAAAAGATGCCTAGTGATGGTTCAAGAAAGGATCCGGCATGGAATTACTCACATTTGGAGAATCCGAAAGATACAAATTCCATCACTTGTAACTTTTGTGCAAAAGTTACAAAAGGAGGTATTTATCGGGCTAAGCAACACTTAGCTGGAGGGTATAGAAATGTGAGTGCATGCACAAGATGCCCATCTAATGTTAGAGAAGAAATCAAAGAGTACATGAGTAAGAAAAAGGAAGAAAAAGAGCAAATGAATTTATTACCTAGTGATGAAATTAATTTCCTTGATGGAGACGATGAGGATGATGTTATGGAAGCTAACAATCGGGGAAAAAGGGTAACTAGTGCAGGTAGTGGCAGTGCTAGTGTCAATTCCTCAAAGATGCAAAAGCAAAAAGGACCGATTGATTTATATTTCATTCCCAGACCGGAAATTGTGGTACAAAAAAGAAAGGAGGGAGGAAAACAGACAACCATTAATGATGCATGCAAGAAAGAGTTGAGAGGAAGAGCGTGTGCTGCTTTTGCAAGGTGGATGTATGATGCAGGAATTGCATTCAATGCTGTTAAGTATGATAGCTTTGCCGAGGTTGTTGAAGTAATTGGACAATATGGTCCTGGCATGAAACCACCTAGTTATCACGAGGTGAGAGTTCCTTTGCTTAGGAAGGAATTGGATAATACCAATGCTTTGATGAATGACCACAGAGAGGAGTGGTCAAAATTTGGATGCTCATTAATGGCAGATTTCCTAGTAAATAGTCCAAGGGGAACCATGTTTATTGAATCGATAGATACTTCTTCTTTTTCAAAGGATGGTGCAAAGATGTTTGACTTACTTAATAAATTTGTGAACCGCATTGGAGTAGCAAATGTCGTTTAAGTCGTCACAGATAGTGAATCAAGCAATAAGTCTGCCGGTAAGAATGTTCAATGTTTATAACTTCAAGAGTATGTAAATTCTTTACAAATATATAATTTTTTTTTTGATAAATATTTACAAATATATAATTTAAATCTTTTTTGATTAATATATAATTTATATCATTTTTTCTTTTTTCCGTTTGGTTTCAAATAGGGAGGATGTTAGAGAAAGAACACCCATATTTGTATTGGACACCATGTGCTGCTCATTGCTTAGACTTGATGTTAGAAGACATTGGGAAAATACCGTCCATCTCCAGAACAATGCAGAGGGCGGTGGAGTTGAATAGTTATATCTATATGCATCCAAAGTTGTTGAACATTATGAGGAACTTTACTCATAAAAAGGAGTTGCTTAGGCCCGCTAAGACTCGATTTGCTACATGTTTCATCACATTATCAAGTATTCACAAGCAAAAGAATAACTTGAGAAAGATGTTTACTTCAGAAGAATGGAATCGTAGTAAATGGACGAAAGAGGAAGCCGGTAAAAGAGTTGCTTCTTATGTTTTGATGCCTTCCTTTTGGAACAACATTGTCTTTAGCCTTAAGGTTTCCGGTCCTCTTATTCCGGTTTTGAGATTAGTTGATGGCGAGAAAAAGCCTCCCATGGGATACATTTATGCGGCTATGGATAGGGCTAAAGAAGCCATTGCAAAATCATTTGGGGAAGTAGAAGACAAATACAAGGATATCTTTGAAATAATTGATAAGAGGTGGAATGTTCAACTTCATTGCCCCTTGCATGCAGCAGGTTATTATTTGAACCCAGAATACTTTTATTCAAATCCGAAAATTGAAGAAGATGAAGAGATTGCAAAGGGTTTGTATGCATGCATTGCAAGGTTAATCCCAGATATCAAAGACCAAGACAAAATTACTGAGGAGCTGTCCTTATATTCTAAAGCTGAGGGCCTCTTTGGTAATCCCTTTGCTATTAGACAGAGAAATACACGAGGACCAGGTAAAGTGGTAAAGTATATTAAGTCAGTATAGCTAAGTGTTAAAATTATTTTGACAATAGAGTCGATAGAAAGATGAAGCTAAAGTTGCTAAACATCATTATTAATTTTTTTTAATAGCTAATTGGTGGGAAGCTTATGGCAAGTCAACAAAACTTCTCCAAAAGTTTGCTATAAAGGTTTTAAGCCTTACTTGCAGTTCTTCTGGTTGTGAACGAAATTGGAGCGTGTTTGAGCATGTAAGTATATACTATCTACTAACTAGCTTTGTAATTTAATTGTTGAAAGTTAAAATTTTAATTTTTTATACTTACTAGTTGAGGTTGAATTTATTGCAGCTTCATAACAAGAAAAGAAATAGGCTCGCTCAAACAACTTTGAATGATTTAGTGTTCATCAAATATAATAGAGCATTGAGGCGTCGATATAATATGCGTGACATTCTTGATCCCATTTTACTCAATGACATTGATGAGAGCAACGAGTGGTTAACGGGGAGGATGGATGATTCTGATGCAGAACATGATCTAGTCTATGAAGATGATTCCTTGACATGGGGTGATGTTGCTAATTTTGCTGGTATTGGAGAGGCTAGCAGGCCGCAACGGTCTACTAGATCAAAATCTAGTTCTAGTTCACGGTTACCAACAAAGGGAGCAGGAAGTTCTTCAGTTCGACTTGTGGATGAGGATGAGGATGATTCAGATGAGATAGAAGAGGATCCTGAGAATTATGAATCATTTAGTGACGATCAAAATGATGTTATGCTTATTGATGACGAGGATGATATTTAGATTCATTGGTGTTGTCTTCTTAGGAAGAAATGATGTTTATGTTTGTTTTAGTTTTATCTTATACTTCTCCTTAGTTGACTTTCGCATCTTTATGTTAATATGTTTGATTATTCACTGTTTTGAACTCAAGTACTTGATTTAATTGGTTTTGGCATCTTTATATTGAATATTTAACTTAAGTAATTCATTTAGTTGACTTTTACATCTTTGTATATACTATTGCATCTTTAATACTTTATTGGGTGAGTTTTGTTTTTTTTTTTTCCAACGTGCGCCTTGCTTCAGTCGGGCTCGCGCGCGCCTCGCCTTGCGCCTTGCGCCTCAGGCTCCAGGAGGCATTTGAGCTTTTGTGCGCCTTGAGCCTTTAACAACTATGTAATGTATATATACATTGTTTCTATATAATATTTATTTAATAGTCATAAGGTTATTTTTGCCATTCTAAAATTTTGCTTAATCACGTCTATCAGTCTATGTCACGTGCTTCCTAGGCGTTAAATTTTGGAAGGTAACTAATAGTTTGCAACTAATAGAATAGTTTGGGGGGTTAAGTGTCTTTTTGATAGTTCAGGGGGGTTTTCTGAGAGAGAAAAAAAAGTCTAGGAGGGTTTAATGCACTTAACCCTTAATTATATTGAAATTTCTGCATTCCAAGAATAAAGTACCCATAAACACAAAGACCAAGATCAGCGTATGAGTCCCATTTATAGGTCAATTGAGAGCAAAGTTGTGTCCATACCTCCACTCATCATCCTAGTAGATGATATCAAAATCCGTTTTATGGGAGGTTATTGATCTAATTTTAAGCATGTATGTGTCAAAGCAGTGTGCTCAATACTGATACTTCTCGGACACAAACATAGATATTTCACCTAGACTTGTGAATACAACAAACATACACATATTCATGTAAACACAGAACTAGAGTATGCTAATGCCCACCTTTGAGCTGAAAAAAATACCATCACCACCGGGCATTGATTATTATAAGCCACGTATCATGACTTTTCATCATCTTTTCTTTTCTCTAAATTGTATCTTGATACAACACACAATTCATCAAAAGGGGGCTCTCTTTCTCTCTCTCTCTCTCTCACACACACACACAAGCACACACAAAGGGGATAGCTCTTAAGCAAGGTACTAAAAACAACAAAAATTGCCTTTAATTTTCACCAAAGAAAATCAAAATTTTTGATCTGGACATTGTTTTGATGGCAAACTTGCACAAAGAACTAGAAGTTCGGGGGGGGGGGGGGGGGGGGGGGGGGGGGGATGAGGAAGAACGGTAGTATTCAAAATGTCAAGTAATTTAGAACGCCTGTTGATACAAACAAGTACATGGGAGGAAGAAAGGTAGTATTCAAAATGTCAAGTAATTTAGAACGCCTGTTGATACAAACAAGTACATGGGAAAAGTAATTTGGATATTCTTCTATTAGAATTTCTAATGCCACAAGTTTTTATTGTATTATTATGTAGAATGGTGAATCGATGTCTTGCAACATGGTAATTGACTAATGTTGGAATAAGAAATATGTATCCATTCTCACTTTTCATCCTAAAGCTTGGATTCAAATATTTCCATTAATTTTTTTAAACTTAGAAGGTTCCCTTTCCAAGAAAATATTACAAGCTAATAAACCTTCGCAACTACAAAAGGAAAATATGACATTCAAAGGCATAAAACTTACATCGACTGATGAGTACCAGCTTGTTGTACCAACTGGGAATGTATATATTCATCAATTCTCTGCTTTGCTAAAGAAACCTGTTAAGCATCCACAAATTTCAAAATATGTAGTCCTTAAGAAATAAAATCCAGATGTTCTTGCAAAACAAGTCAGCATCTAAATCTTTGAAGCAAAATCTTTAAGTGCTAGTAACCAGACTACTTTAAATTAACTTTCAGATCAATGATTAATTTCCTTTCAGCTGACGGATTTTACCATAAAGCTTAACTAACAACACTATAAAAACTTTTACTCTGAACTATTAGATTTCCAAATTTCAAGATTCTAACAAGTTTCTCATTTCCTTTTTTCACTTTCCTCAGGACCATTCCCCATAAGAACAGGGCAAGCTGTTATAATACCCAACCTACATCTCCACACTGTCCGTCGGGATGTCTTTGCCACCAGAACTAAGCAAATTACACTTGGTGGATTACCTGTTGAGCACTACCACCGAGATGGATTTGCCTTTCTTTTTGTTCACCCTTCCCACCATGAACCTGCACCCCAAAAATAAAAATATATAAAATAAAAAGGTGAACAAGTTTGAAGGACAACAGATTGTTTTTGTAGAGAAAAACATGTTGCAGACAAAAAGTGTGGAACTATACAGAAAATAACAGCACAATTAAGTATCAAGGCAAAATTTCAGCATAAGGAAAAATTTCAGAACCAGCCATATAACTTTTATGTTGAATCTTACATGATTCATTACACCAAGATCGCTGGTTAACTACTTCATGGAGTTGAATTGTCATCATGTGAGTCAAAACAACCTTCAGACTGCAATTTGCTTAAAAAGTTCCTTAAATCCCAATCTATTAACTTAAACAAGGTGATGTTTTGAAACTTCCACATCAAAACATTTGAAATCTAATATTTTAAAGTCTAAAATGAAATGACAAATAAGAACCAAAAGTTCGTAAGTGATTATTAAACCTCAATTGAATTGGAAACAATTGAAACTCGCTGAAACCCCCTTAAAGTTTACCAAAACTTTTGGAAAACTTGTTACTCACATTATATAATATCTTAGAACTATTGAGAAGAGATGAACTTCTATTGTACATCAATTTTTTCAATTTCATGCATACATCCAACAAACATGATCTTCATGATGACCACATTATAACCAACTAACCAAGTGTGAGAGAATACTATAAACAATCAACAATACAACATCAAATGCATTTGTGGCCATAAAATTAGTGAAAATTACAAAATTGTAAGCTTTTACTCTCCACAGCAACTTAAAATTTAATTTATAGGCCGTTATTCATGTCAAAACCTTAAATATTAAACAAAATCCATTAAACATTATGTAAAATATGTTTTTACTAGATTCAGGAATTAAAAACTTGTCTATCAGTTTGCTTAAACCAAGGTGTACGTAAAAAAAGATTGGCAACAAAACAGCAAATACTACTACACCCACGTCCATGACACCACAACTGCATCCGTGTAAGATGCCGCAAAACATTGAAATCTTAGATTTTGCGGAAGCAAAGTGTAAATACATAAAATTTGCACAATATTGTTGGCAGGAAAAGCAGTAGAATTCTAAATTTTATTATATTTCATACAGAAAAAGAAGTTATCCTTCTGCCAGCACAGTGCAATTTACAAATCCATGGCAGTCTAAACAATAGAGAGATGGTTGGGATGATCAATTCACACAATTCAATACTAGCCAACCCTCTGAGGTTTTACTTGCAGAATTGCAAGAAATATATAGCTATACAAGAACTACTTTTTTGTACGATAAGAATCCTTAATAAGAACAACTCTTAATTCGGCAAACTTGCAGCTTATAAATTAAAGCTCAGCATACCTTGATCGTAGCTCCAGACTCACTTCTGATCCTTGATATGTTGGAGCCACACCTCCCAATCAAGCCACCAACCAATGTTTCAGAAATCAACATCTCCAGAGTTACATAATCAGCTGCAAGATTGGTTGTCCTAAAGATGACGCCGTTATGAGAAAAAAAATATCAAAAATTTGCTACAACAGCAGATCGGCAATTTGAAAATTGAAACAATATGATCTGAAAAGCATTAAATAACCTGAATTCGGGTCTACATATTGTTGAGGGGGTCGATTGAAACCAAGATTATAAGTCGGGTTGATGGAAATTACTTGATTAGGTGGGTTATCTCTAGACAAATCGAATTGATAGTCAAATTAGTAAAGAAACTAAAATGGTAGATTAAAGAAAAAAGACATAAAAGTAGCAACTGGTGTCAATAAAAAAATTAACTTGGACCTTAGTTGATATCCAATCTCTGATAAAGCCTTCAGCACTGCAGGAACATCGCCTGATATCTGAGTTTAATACAAATTATAATCATTTCTCAGCATCAAAATAAGCAGACTACTAAAGTACAATAAAGAAAATAAAAAATACATTCAAAACAAATTCAAAAAATCAGTTATTAATCGAAATTTGACATTCAATTAATAATATACAGAGATTACCGGCAGAAACACCTCATCATTAATGCAATAATTAACTCACACCATTTTGCCACCCAGTATTCTCTAACTCCTAGACTATGCTACTCTTTATAATTCTACCTATTTTTTTCTGGTCATCTAAGGGGGTCCTTCAATAGTAGTTCATTCAAAGCTTCTAATTTAAGTTCAATCGCATCAACCGTTCAACATCCTTGTTCATCTAAACCTTCCTTAGACATCCTGCCACAAGCAATCAGCAAGCTCTTTTTCTCTTTTTGCAACTTAGTACCAATACATGAGGTATGATGCAACAGAAAGAGTCAAGGCTCAGGAAAGGCCTGACAACTCCACAAATTGCAACAAATAAAAAATTTCAAACGAGCATGGTTCTGGTTTGAATATTTCCATGGAACTACTAAAACTTTCAATTTTGCTGTAATTTTTATGATAAGGAATTTGTGGTAATTGAAAAGACAGTTTTATGTAATTTTGACTATATATTTCACCAGAACTCCTATCCTGTTATAACTCTTCAATACTCAGCGAGACCGATTGAAATATTTCAAAATCATCTGATTCAACTCTATAAGCATCTTCCCAACTATTTGGAATTGGCTACAAAAAATATGTATACTATTATTGTAAATTAAGAAGAAAAAAAAAAAGATGTACCGTGTTACTACAACATGAAATATTTAATAGTTTCACAACTTTCACTACTCATCTTACCTGTCTCTGACCATTTATTTTCTTTACACCATTCAAGCCAATTAATTATCTTTATAAAGTCATCAGCTTTCTTTATAAGGAGCGATGGATGAAATATTACTCTCTTTCCCCTCTTTTTTCTTCAAATGGGAAAAGCTGGTATAGAAGTTTCTTGGAGAAATAGAGGATCACAAGAGAAGGGGTTGACTAAATAAATAATAATAAAAATTCATACTCAACTGAACAAAGCCTTTTTTCAACTATCCAAGTTAAGCTACATGAATCCTTTTGCCATTCTACTCCATCTAGGGCCATAAAGTTAAACACATCGCGTGATATCATAACTTTCCTTGCTATCTCAACTTAGTTAATTTTGGAGTCTTTCCATTCTCTAGCACTTCACTCGACTAGATCAACAACAACTCAATGCACACCACATCATTCTTCCCCATTGGTTCAATTATTGGTTTTTGTTGCACATTGACAAACCATTTTAATTGATTTTCTCTGATTTTGTCTCCAATTGGAACTACTTCCATCATCCCACAAATGTGTTCATTTAATTCATCCCAACACTGGATTCAGCTACGCTCATCTGAACAACATTTGGTTTCTTAGTCGTCACATATTCTACCCCATAAACTATGGTTGGCAGCCTGGTATAATAGTCATTTCATACTAGTATACTTTACCTTTCAATTTTAGAGGTGCAAGTGAGTCACATAATATTCCAAAAGCATTCCTCCATTTAACCCATCCTACTTTAATTATATGATTAATGTCATCTCAAATTTCTCACTCATTGTGAATAATAGTCTAAATAACGAAAATATTCACTTTTCAGTATCTCTTAACTTTTGATCTTCACTGCATTTTTTATTTTTTTGATAAGTAAATCTTCACTACATTTATGGATTGTTTTGGGAGACAAGTTTTTTGTAAATAGTTTAGGGCTAAAGGTGAACTCCTCTATACACTCTGTGTTCTTAAGCTCTACGGACATCTATTACTTATCAAAAAGGAACAATTTCATCTGCAATTACAACTTTAAATTATGAATAATATCAGTCTACATAAACCATGTCAAAATATTAAACTTCATTGTGTAATTTAAGCCACAGTTCAAGCAACTTGCATGTGCAGGCCTGTCATTCCTTGTTCTAACTTATTTGTCCAGTGGCATTCATATCACTGCCTCATTTTCCATGAAACCTGGCACTAATTCCAGTGGTTTCTAATAAAAATCAGTATCTTTCATCGGTTCTTCAATTAAAACTCTATTGAATCATCCAGTCCCACGAAATTACGAAGGCAGAACAAGCATAAAAAAGAAAAGGATAAACATTAAAACTTGTAACTTCAAATTTTGTTTCAGTTTGTGAATAACAGCAAGCACACACCTGTACCACTCGATCAGATTCATGAGCAGATGCACAAAAAGGTAACTGATGTTGAGCGAGAACAGTGATGATGGCACCAGAGAAATTCCTCAGTTTCTCAATGTTTTGACCAGATATTCCAATCAAAGAACCTGCTTGGGAACCAGCAATCAAGAGCCTTATTGTATTCGCAGCCATGTGTCCTGCCCCAACATTTAGTGGCTCGATATTGCCAACGTCATCCTATATGCAAGCAGAGAAACAAAAGGTCATTTCATCGGTCGACCACTACAAAGTTCGATCCTCAAACAAGTATATAATGTCATAGAAAAAAAGTCCAAAAAAAAAAAAAAAAATTCCAAGTTTTGCCTTTTGCTAGAGCCTGAGGATTTCCCAAAGGGCCAGTGGAAAACTCATTGTTCTGGCGTGGATGGCAAGTAGGCCCATATTTCTTGAATTTGAATAGACATTTACAAACATTGAATCATTCCCTTCTCAACCATTGAACCATAGACCTGAAAGTACAGAACCTGTCCCTAATAGCAGTTCAAGGGTACTTTAAAAAAACATGAAATCCATCCATAACTATAGGCATTTTTTTTTGATAAGTCATCCCATAACTATAGGCATTTTAGAGGCTTCTGAAGCTCCTTGGGGGTTGTGTGGTGTGGTTCTAGCTGTAATTGTGGCATAAGGAGAACTAAGTGTGGTGCCTAGCTTCTTTCAACTTTTCCTACCTTTCTTCTTCTTCTTCTTAATTTTTGTGCAAGTTTCTAAGCCATTTAATACCCAAAATCATATCAGTTTTAACTGCCTTTTCACATATAAAGTCCTATTTGAAAAGCCATAATCATTCCCTTTTTTGACCATTCAACTATAGAACCCAAAAATTACAGAAGCAGCCTCTAATAGCAGTTCAAGGGTACTGTTCAAAACTTGAAACCGATCCCATCTCTGTTTAAATCATCCCTAACCAACCCTATATTTACACCTCATCAATCCTAACCCTTTCCCCAGTCTATAAGCCTTTCTATCTGACAAAAGGAGAAAATAATGGAAGGAGTTATTCAAACCTCATCAGTCATCACCCTTTTTTATCCTTAAAAAGTAAGAGAGAGAAAAAAAAAAAAAAAAAAAAAAACCTTACATGCATCAAGCTCATACTGCTAAAGAATGGTGGTTATGACATTGGAGGACAAAAAACCAGGACACATACGACATCCTTGTAATATTATAACCTGAGTTGAGTATTATTGAGCACATTACCTTTAAGACCAAACTGGCTATTTGATGGAGGGCATTCTCTGCATCAGAAGTCCTCTTGTCGCTGTCTTTAGAACTTATAATGATTACACGCTCTTCGTGCCGCTGTGAAACAGCAAAAGGCATTAGCAAATATCACTATTTTCAATTTGCAAAATTCTTACAGGGAAGATGATCAAAGAGAAAGGATACAGGAACAAAAACATGAATTCAGGGTTTTCTAGCCAAAGACTAGTTGCTTCCTAGGCCAACTGATAGAACTGCACCAAATTCAGAGTTATACCATTTAAAGACCTTTTTCTAGAGTTAAGTTTATATGCTTCTAGTCAAGAAAAAAATTCATAAATGCTTCTCATTACCCCATCTATGTCCCTCCTAAACAGGATGCTAAAAGGAGGAGAACAGTGGCAGACCTAACATTTGGCATTTTTGGCATCATTTTGCACTAAGTGGCAACTCTCCGACGCAAACTTCACGTCCTTGCACTTGTTAGTTTGAATTTTTACCATTACACCGAGCAATGGGATCTTAAATACTCTTGACAGAAAACAAAACAAAAATAGTTATGGAAATAAAATAAGGAGACAAGGGGAATTTCACCGCAAGAATGTAGAAAGAGGTTATAGGATGTCACATAAAACCCCAATTATAATCTCTACTAGCAAATATATGACATGTTTGTCTCCGTGCACATGTACAAGAGCATCCAGAAAAGAGCTAATAAAGATATGAAATTAAGATGACAGATGACCGAAAAGCTAGAGTTTCTCAGGGTAAACACCCCCCATTTTTAAAATCTATAAAAATTCAATATTCATCATTTTGCACCTCATAAACAAAGTTATAAATACCCAACTTCAATCCCACGTGTTAATCTCAATTTTCAAAATACTGTCTGAATGTCACAAACTCAGTTTCAATATAAAATAAAATCATACTTGTCAAAAAATAAATTATACATATGCTAGTGAATTCAACAGAAACCATGGTGATCAAATACCATCATACAAAAATCTATTAACCCATGCTCGATGATGGGGAAAAAACAACTGCACTAACCCAATTGATTGTGTGTCATGATAGTTCCTAAAAATGGACATTTTTGGTGTTTTCAGGCCTGGGTCCTGACTAAATTTGTTTTGCTGTGTTTCCAAGGAAACATAAGAAAATAAAATATAATTTAAATTCTACATTTTTTTATGCTGGAAACACATAATCAACTTCTGATAACTGACCCAAAGCAACTACTTAACTTTTTTTCTGATAAGTAAAATTGTATTAAGAAGCGTTCAAAAGGGGAACACATCCCTCAAAAGCTACACAAGGCCAAATAGGACCTTTAAACCCTCAAAAAGTCCAAAAAATCAACTATATCATCCATGGATTTACAATTTCTTCCTTTAACCCAACAAAAAAGAGTTTCAATAGTGGAAAACTTCAACGCAGCAATAGGGGTCTCCTTTACTTCAAAGGATCTCCTATTTCTTTCAAGCCATAAACACCACAAACACACCTTGGGCCCCCACTGTACAACCTCTCCAAGCCTCTGGAAGGCCTGGGCATAACCCACCAAACTCCGAACTAACCCAACATCAAAACCCAACAATCCCAAGCCACAGAGTAATGCAAAAGAAGATGATCAACTGTTTCCTCATTAGTTAACTTAGTTGAGTCATTCGTATTAGGGAAACATAAACAACTGAAATCATTAAATTCTAGATTTTTAATTCACTTCTTGTCCAACGTTTTCACATAAATCAGGCAAATAGTTCATATTCCAAATTTCAGTACCTTCTCTTTTTTTCATCATTCCATAACCAAAGAAGTTACATCTACTTATAAATGTGTGAGTTTTTTTAAACCTTATGCATGCAAGTTGACTGAGTAAAAACAAAGAAATACACTGAAAAATAAACAAGCGATATCTTATTCTTCTTTTCCAATTTTCTTTTTTATTTTCTCAACAACCAAAAGGGAGTTTAATATTCAAAGTTCTTATCTTTCAGACTCTTCTCTTCTATCACATTTTCTCGTCAACTACAAAAAAGTATGCACATTTTTAAATATAAAGCAACAGTTAACTTATTGTGTAGATTCTCTTTCATTCCTCCGAAAGAGAACTAACCATCCCTCCTCCTCTATTTTCGCACAACTTTCTTGTTAAAATGGAAGACATTAATACCTTCATTTTTTCTATATTTTCAAGTCAACCAAACAAAAGTAATTAATGGAAATGTTTGCCACTCACCGAAACGGCATCGGCGATTTTGATGGTGGCTTTGGTCTCTTCTCGAATTCTCTGGATTCGCGACCCTACTTTGCCGATAACCTTCCCGATCTGCCTTGAGGGGACCACAATTCTGAATAAGACATCCTGCGTCGACTTCGCCTGCCGCTTCGGCGACGGGGCGCCGATGCCAGTTCCTCCCGACGCAGCCGCCGCGTCTCCCTCGTCGCGTGGCCGCTTCGCCGCCGCGGTTCGGTAGGTATCCTCTCCCGTTGGTGGCTGAACCATTGATGTCGAGTGAGGGATTGAGGGAGCGTGGACTGAACAAGGAAGCGATACGTATATGGTCACTTTCCTTTAATTTGTTTGTAACCAACCACTCGGGTGCACCCAGCGCACCCCACCATTTTCGTCAAGTTACATTTTTTTGTTAATTTAAAAGAAACTAGAACCAGAGACACAAAACTTATTTACCAGCGTATAAGTGGATGTTCTCAAGCTCAACCTACAGAAAACTAATTTACCCTTGCACTTTTATTTAATTAATTAATAATAATTATTATTATTATAAAATGATTTTTTATAATTATTATTAAAATTATTTTATTATTATTAATTTAAACGCTTTAAAATAAGAAAAAATTTCATTATTAATCACTGATAAAGAAATTTTGTTGGACAATTTAATTGAAATGTAAAAAAAGTCGATAAAATTCATTATCTGTATTGGGTATCAGATAATTTTTCTATAGTTTTTTTTTTTTTTTTTTGCCAATTGTTGCACTTTAAACTCAATCCAATTTAACTTTATTTTGACATTTATAAACAACTATTTTTTTAATGTTGGCGATGAATTTGGATTAAATTGTTCAACTTAATTTCATTTTGTGTTTTGCTTAAATAGACTTCTCGAAACAATCCAACCCTAAAACTATATATATATATATTTTATTACTTATAATATAAAAATATTTAGCAGTTCGTGGATTGATTGTTATATAATTTGAGTTTTAACTTTTTGATGATTTGGGTGAATTATTAATAAATTAAATTTTAAACTATATTTGGTTGCATAAAATTAAAGTTTTAAAATTAAAATTAGTGAAATATAAAAAAATATTGGTTCAAAGTTACAAAAAAAATGAACTAAAATTTATCTAATTATATCAATTATAATTCTAAAACTCTAATTTTATGGTGCAGAAGATGACTAAAGGCCAATTCAATGTCTAAATATCTCAACTCATACTCGAGCCCAACCAAACCACTAATAATTTTAATTATCCAAACATTTATTTATTTATGTTTGAACTAAGACAATATACTTAATCTTGCTTCAGTTAATTTATTTAATTAAGTTCAAGTTACTCATGCCTTTACACAAAAACCTAACCCTTACTCAAAGCTAAAAAAAGAAAGAGAGAAGATTTCTTGTTCCAACTAAGGCTGGGACTTGGGTGGGTCTAATTTGAGCAACTCGATTCCAGTCCGAAAAATTTGTTGGAATGGGTAAGATACTTGAGGCCGAAGTAACACAATCATTCTCAACCTGTGTTGTTTTCACTCAAATTCTTACTATTTCTAACTTAATTTTGTCGCTTTCACGTTTGTTCTTTATGTAACTTACCTTAAGACTATGAGATGAAATTAAATTTAAACTTTAGAGTTCCAATTTAATTTGCACAGAATCTGAGATTAAGTTTTAGTTTTACAAACGAACCTAACATACAAGAAAATAGTATAATTTTACTTATTTATTTTTTAATGTTATACCCTACATAGATGATTTAATAGTTACAGTGGGTATTCAATTGCTTTATCATTTAACCAATCGCGCATTTACTTTTAAATTTATTAATTACTTATTTATGGACTCTAAAAATGTAATTTTTTTGAAATAAAATTACCTCTTTAAACCTTTCTTCTATCTTTTTTGATTTATGGGTGTTTATATATATATATATATGAATATGATATATATAGTAATAAAAAAATAAAAATAAAAAAAGAAAAGAAAAAACATAGAAGGAAAGAATTTGAGATGACTTGAAAAAAAAAAAAAAAAATTGCACGGCCAAGTGGAGATGTAATGAATTCATGAAAACTTGGACTTGGTACGGATTGAACAACGCAAGTTTGGTGTGGGCCACCCAACCCGGCCAAGTTTGGACTTGTTACTGTTAGCCACCCAACCCGGCCAAGTTCCAACATCGTGCGTGAATTCATTAAGAGCTCTGGATTGAGTTTGATTAAATTGTCCAACGCTTCACGGCTTCAGCCTTCAGTTTTGTAAAACCGGTCAATTCTCACACCAATCACAAACCGGTCAAACGTCCAAACCCCAATTACTGAAACCATACATTGAAACCCTAGAACCCAAAACCAGACAATGCACCTCCTTCGCGCCTCCGCCGCCGCCACCAGCAGCAGCAGTTGGTTCCTATACACCGTTGTTTCACGGCACTTCTCCTCTGCGTCCAAGATCTCACAACTGCCAAGCCTCTCCAAAATAAGAAACAGGAGACGCGAAGTCATCCAAGACGCTCAACAGGCCCTCACGGACTACCTCCACAACACCAGGTACTTACCCTACACATTCGCCGAGCACATTGGCAAGAACTCCACATTCTCCCTCGTCAACATCATTGCCAAAGTCTATTCATCGCGGGCCACGTTTCTTGGATCGTTCCAGAGGTTCCTCAGGTACCACCCCATTAACGAATTTGAATTTTTCTATGAAAGTATAGGCATTCATTATAAGGAAGTTAATGGTTTTTTGCCTGCGAACAAGTTCTTTTTATCGGAAGATTTGCGGACTTTGAATGCGGCATACGCTCTTTCCGGTTTTGGGTTTCCTTGGAACAGGTTGGGAGAGTTGTATAAGGAAGAGAAGTCGATTTTTGGTATGGATTCTACAGAGTTGAGTAGAAAGCTTAGAGGGTTAAAAGATTACGGGTTTAAAACTGAACTGATAATTGCTATTTGCTTGGTTTTCCCTCGGGTGTTAAGTGCTGAGTGTCAACTGGGCTGGAAATATGCCATGTTTCTTGATGATTTGAAAAGGGTTCTTATTGATTTTGATTTGATGAGTTATGTGGAGTGTAATCTGGATGCTTGGTATGACATATGTAGGAAAATTCGGGTGTTTTATGACTTAGATTGTGAGAAAGGGAAGATGGGGGAACTGATGGGTATTAACAAAAGCATTTTTATGGAATACTCGGAGGAAGATTTGATCAGAAAGGTGGATTTCTTTTGTAGGTTGTGTGTGGGGAAGGAGGAGGTTGCCTTGTTCCTTCTTGAGAGACCAGAAATTTTAGGTTTTGATTTGGAGAATCGGGTGATTTCAGTGTTGGGGTTCCTAAAACACTGTGGAATGAAAACAGAAGAGTTAAAATCTATTGCTCAAAAGTATCCACACGTTGTAGGAAGACACAAAATGGTTAATTTGCCTCATGTGATGAGAGCATTGGATCTAGAAGAATGGTTCTTCAATAAGATGAAAAATGGGAATCATCTTTTGTTAGGTAGCTATGATGGTTGTAAGTTTGACGAAGACTTGGATGGTGATTTTAAAGCTCGTTTGGATAAAATAGAATCTTCAAGAAACCGAAATCACTACCTAACCAAGTTGAATTTCTTGCACGGTGTCGGGTTTGGAGAGAATAAATTTATCATAAAAGTCCTAGATCGGGTAAACGGCAATGGTGGCGAACTGCAGGAACGCTTTGATTGCCTTCTGCGTAATGGGATTGAATTCTCAAAACTTTCTAAGATGTTAAGCCTGTCACCTAAGATTCTAAACCAAAAGGCAGAAATTCTTGAACAGAAATTGAACTTCCTTTGCCAGGATGTGGGATCATCTTTGCAGTTACTTGATGAATTTCCTGCCTTTCTGTGTTATGATTTAGAGAAAAGAATTAAGCCCAGATACTATTTCCATATGTGGCTTTTGGAAAAGGGTTTTTGTGCAAAAAATTACTCCCTTGCGAGCATAATTGCAACTAGTGAGAAAAATTTCGTACATCGCATATCAGTTATTCACCCATCTGCTCCAAAACAGTGGGCTGAGTTCTTCAAACAAAAATAATAGAAGTAATTGGCAAGAGAAGATAGAAGAGTTGTGCATGTTACTTGGCGGATTGCTTACTTGCAGTAAGGAACTCAACATGGCAGTTTTAGGGTCATCAGTAGGAGACATAATGTAAACATATTTTTTTTTTCCTAATTGGTACTCACACACATATGCCTCCACTGAGGCTCGAACCCCTGACCTCCCTTTGAGAAGTAGGAGCTTGTTACCGCTAGGCCACTGGCTGTTGGTATGTAAACATAACTGTTTATTTCCATTTTCTGGTTTCAGAATCATATTCTCGTTAAGATAATCATGAATATAATTTCTTAGATTGATTCATCATAAGCTGCTGAATACATTTACGATAGCCTCAATGATGATGTTAATGGCCATTCTCTTTGGGTCCTGCTTGACAGCCATGGTGCCACCATTGATTGTTCGAGCATAATCTTAATTGGTCTGTACTAGTGCAATCCCAGCAAATCATTGACAAATTGTATGCAGCTTTTGGGCATGACGAGTGAGTGCATCCTTAGAAGTAAGCTTCATTTACTGTCTCGAATCATTACTGCTCTCAACTCTTACTGTTGTTGCATGTAATGGATGTTGAACACAAGCATATAATATAAATGTGTATGTCCATGTGCATCTCTCTGCCCATCTCTCTCTTCTGATCTTTGCTTCATCATGGGAAATCTTGAACAAATATTGAAGGCTGCACAGACAGTTGCATAGCCAGTTGTTGAAGAATTTATGTTTCCATTTTGAGTTGGTGATGAACAGAGGGCCCATGTTTGTCCCATGCAAAATGGATTATTTATTTTATCAATCATAATTATTCTAATTTAGAAATATAAGTGATATATAGAATTTTTACAAAGAACTAGTTGATTCATTAATGAAAGTGTGAGAGAGAAATTAGGTGTAACACGCATGGGTGAGAAAATGAGAGAGGGTAGGCTTAGATGGTTTGGACGCATACATCGGATACTTGGAGACGTACCGGTCAAACAAGAGAGATTAGTTGTGATAGAAAGTAAGAGAAGAGAGGGCGACCAAAGATAACATCGGATGAGGTTATTAAAAATGACTTAAAAAACTTACATATAGTAGGTGAAATGACATGTAGTAGAAAAGATTGGAGGAAGAGAATTCATTTATCATTATGGAACAAACTCATTTTAAATGTTACGAAAAGAAGAAAATGAAGTCATTAAATGCTACATAAACAATTTGGATTCGTAATAAGTTGAAAATATAGAACCAAATTTTGAACTCCAAACAACCCCCTTGGATTATTTATCTGTCTCTCTTGGATCATAATGTGCCGGGAAGGAAAGCCCAAATTACTCTCTTACAATTCCTATAGAACCAAGAGCACTAAAGTTGTTATTACAGTAGTTTATAACGAATGCTAGATTTATAATTTGACTTGTATTTGAGCACTTGAGTTTGTTACAGTTCTAAGAAATGTTTATATTTTTTACTTAGTTATCAAAAAGGGAAGAAGGGAAAGGTTTAGATTTTTAAACTTTGATTTAACCAACAGGCCAGTGGCCTAGCGGTACCAAGCTCCTAGTTCTCAAAGAGAGGTCAGGGGTTCGAGCTTCAGTGGAGGTATATGTGTGTGAGTACCAACTAGGGAAAAAAAAAAAAACTTTGATTTATGCTTTATAAAAGTTGCCATGTAGTCAAGTGGTGTTGCAGACAATAATAAGAGCAGGCTTAGTCCATTCGCCATGGTACTTTCCAAATATTTAATGATCCAATTGTAGATTTGGGTAAAATAAAATCACCATTTTATGTGGCATGAAATTTTTTATTTTTTATTTGTGCAAGTCATATGACATGGATTTTTTGTGTTTGTAGGAAGAGCTGTGATTTTTTTACATAATGTATTGAAATTGTAGGAGGGTGAAAATACAAAATATCTAAAGATGAAAAAAAAAAATAATAAATCATCCAGTACGGAATCAAAAAAGAAATTGGGGAACCTAAAACACAACTATGGTAAAGGCATGTCAAATAGGTTTTCTTGAAATGATTCTACTCCTACTCACTTACCATTGTATGTAATAAGCTACAATCTGTAATGCTTGAGATATAATTTTCATTTTTCATTTTCCCTTTTTCTGTTTCCTTGTTTTGATTGGTGATGGTGTTTTCATTTTGATTGAAAGTTCGATGATGTGTTTGCCATGGGGGAATGGAATGCTGACATTCATAATAGGAGTTGAAAAATACATTCAGGAAGTTTGTATTTTTTATTTAGAAACAAATTCTTAAAGCAAGTATTTATTATAAGTATAATGTACTTCTCTAACATACAGTGTGTGGTAGAGCTGAAATTCTTTTGAACCAGATATTTGATGAGGCTTCTATGTAATATATGTCTTCCATTGTCCACCAAGCATTTTGATTAATCTTGTAATGGATTCACAAGTTTGTTTTCTGCCTAATCAACTTGATTAATGTTTTATGTAACTTACAGTTCCCATTGACGGTACTGAGCCACTGTATGGATTACTTTCATATCCTTGAGAATTTGAAGCTAATCTCTCTCCTCTAGTCCTCTGCATCTACAATACAAGCACACACATGGATACACTAACTAATGCTTTTTGTTCGTAACCCTATGAATTTAATTTTGTAGTTTGGATTGCCTTTTCTTTCGGGCACAGTTTGATGCGGTGAAGTGAAGCCTTGAAATCTGGTGGGAAGAGGATAATTGTTTACAAGCTTCTTTCTTGAAGGCGTGTGATCAAGCATCTGATGGAGCCATTTTAATGCGGCTTATCAAGAAAATTAGTAGTTTTCCCATTTAAACAAGGACTTGTGTGTGTTCTTTGTTTTGCATGTAATTTGCATGCATTCGTTCTTCAACAATGGAGCTCACCGTGACATGAATGTACGCTCTCCCCTTTTTTGAATTCATGAAATTTCTAGTCTTCTAGCACAACATTGCAGTTCATTGCGACTAGATGACGACTTGAATGTATTCTCTCCTTTTGTTCAAATTAAGTCTCGTGGATTGATGTATGTGTACTCAATTAATCTTTTGTTAGGATCAAAATGTAAACTCGTACAGACTGAGTTTTCAAGCATTTGCTTAAAAAATGGTTAGTTCTTCACTAATAATCATTTGTGGGTCGTGTAGGATACATTTTGGTTACAGATGAGTGAGTTGAAGTACAGAGCAATGTTCAAAGGATTGTTTAATCTTGTTTGGTTTACTTAACGCTTGTGGCAGAAAGAAGCATTGGAAACCAACAGGTTGCTTGCGCATATAATACAGAAGGGATCAAGGAGGTAATTTGCTATTTTGCCAGGGATGTCAAACTCATTGAGCTTGCTGTTCTACTAATGGTAGATCGGAAAATGGTTGAGGAGGATCCAATTACATTTTATCAAACTGGATGGATGACATTGGACCAATGCATCCGCCTTGAACTTGGGACACTCATAAATTACTGTACGTACAAAAAGGAACACACAGAGATTTGGCTCGAATCTGTAAAAAGTTTAAGGAGGCAATGATACATACATGTGCTACAGTTACTTGAAATATTTGAGAGGGCTGGTGATGCTATTGAGGCTTATCTTCAGTTAGAGCGAACTAATGTAAGTTGTAATAATGCTTGCTTCTCATACTATTGTGTTGGTTTATTTTCGCCATATGGGGGAAGTTCTACAATTTATTTGATGATGCCTACGAGTCCTTATATTGCTTTGATTCCTTGGTCATTTACAAGTACATAGGACATTTTTTTGTTTTGTTTTGTTTTGTTTTGGTCCTTCCATTTTTGTTTGACATCGGTTTCTTAGCCAGAAAAGTTGAGCGATTATGTAAATTCTTCTTTTTTTTATGATTATGGGTTTTATTTGATAGAATTTTAATATAGTGCTTCTTTGTGTCCTTATAGGCAGAACAGGTTGCCCAGGATACTTTCAGAGGCGGGCTTCAAATTGACATTCAGAGTCTCTGATTTAAGCAATACAGTGGAGCGGTTTCTTTACTTTTTGATCACTTGCAAATGGAAAAAATGAACTCTCAATAGTTAAGCAATGCTAATGAATATTACTTTGTCGTGACAGGTACTGTTGTACACACCATGTGATTGCAAAAGCTCCCCGACCAAGCCGGTCTTGGAACACTTTGTGAGTTATGCGGTGCGAAAGTAATTAATTAAATCCCTAAATGACCTATATGATTAATTAAATATTCACAATCACATATATAAATATTGAAAAGTAAAGCAAGTAAAGTTAGAAAGATGACAGTAGGATTTTAGCGAGGAAATCAATTGAAAAACATCGAGGGTTTTTGCACTGTTCAGAGCGCAAATGATCTACTATGTATGAAGCAAAATACACTGAATTTTGACTCAGGCTCACATCCCGTGGCCCTACCAAGATTCAATCTGTTGAATGTCTCTGACTTTGTGACTTTCCGTTCAACAGTTTTGACTTCAGATTTATGGTGCAAACTATATACAAGGATTGCTGGTAAATCAACAATACTTCACAAGCACCTCAATCTCTCCAAAGTGTGATATGAAATTATTTTTATTTGAATCTGAATTTAATGTAGAAGAATTAGATCTGTTTTTTGAAATTTCTGAATCTTCAATTATGCTCAAATTCTAATGAGATAGAGAACAACACTATTATATCAGTCTTGTATATATGTGTGCACTCTCAAAACAAAAATAGAAAATCAGATTTGAAATATCTCAAAAAAAAGGCTGTCTTAAAATAATGAATTTATGTTCTAAAAAGTCGTATACATCAAAAAGAGAGATTATATAAAAATTTGAAAGACTTAAAAATACTTAAAAATCAAGTCAGTTTCAAATGAGTCATCTCAAAATCAAAGTGAACCAGACCTGAGCTCACAATTAAATGAGCCGAGACCCTGCCAAGCATGCAAAGCGGTAACAGAGCCTAGAGGTCTTCTTTAACGGGCGCAAATCCTCTGCTGTGAGATTCCTATGCAGTTCTTGTTGTGAGTTTTAAGTGGCCTACATTTTGCCACATCATTCTTCATTTAATAGCTCTTAAGGCAGCGTTTGAGTGGAATTGAGACAGCGTTTGGATCCTTATTTACCACCATTTATAAGTATCATCACACACAAAATAAGTTATGCACATAATACAGACTAAGTAATGTCACATACAAACTTAACTCAATTCAACATATTGTGTTTGGCAATTACACCACCATTTTCTAAGTAACATTTCACTGCCATTTATAAGTATCTTCACCCTTAAATTAAGGTATACACATAAATGGTGATGTTACTTTTATATTCATGTGATGTTACTTTTTAGATTCTGTAATATTACTTATAAATGGTAATGTAATTGCCAAATACGGTCTCAATTATCAAATGGCGGTGAATGATGTGGCCAAAGGTATGCACATAAATAGTAATGTTACTTTTTATGTTTCTTATAAATGGTGGTGAAATGTTACTTATAAATGGTGGTGTGATTATCAAACACGGTCTCAATTGTCAAATAGTGATGAATGACGTGACCAAACATAAATCACATAAGAACTTACAACAGGCACAGTGCGCCCCTTCTTTAACTATATGACCTTACTTTAAACCGACTCCAGCTCGGGCGAAACTTGGATTGTTTGGGCGTAGGTTTTACTTTAATCCGACTTATATTGATCCTAGTTGAATTTTGATTTCTTGTCCAGTGATTGCCCCTATAAATACTTCCTTCCATCATTCGCTCTCCCGCTTCCTAGAAACAAACTCGAGAGTCGAAAGCAGTTCTTCAAAATCCTAATTTAAGAGTGACCAAAATGTCACCACCATCAAAGATATCTAAAACCAAGGACTCCCTAAAGAAGTTGCGTAAACAATCGAAAAGATGGTTCAAACCATGTTGCAAAAGAACCGAGTTGCCATCAGAAGCTTTGCCCCCAAAATTTGAAGACGACGATGTCCCCTCCTTCCCTAGAGGTTTGCACCAATTAATTGTTCGCACACATATATATATAAAGTGAGATTCGAGAGGGAAGGGTGAGAGTCGCATAATTAAGTTATAAATAGTAAGAATTTATGCCGGCAGAGCTAAGAGTTAAAGTACGTTCAGAACGTGAGAACTTGAGAAAGGTTGTGTGGCTTAGATTTTCACTAATTATTTGCAAAAAAATATATATAAATAGATAGTTTTTATTTATTGCTATGTATTTGAAGGTGGGGGATATTCGCGTAGTCGAAACGAAGTTAGTACCAAAGTTGATGCGGAGTTTGAAGCGGAGGAGAGGGAGTCGAAGAAGAAGAAGAAGAATAGAGTGAAGAACGTAAGTCATTCCACGAAGGATGATTTTGAATCCCTTTGCAGCGGTGGAATCACTGCTAAAAAGATCACTTTGAAGGTACGGAGTTGTTAAATGTTCGTATAAGTTTGTAATTATGTTACCATTATAATTGTTTTAAATTCTATTAATACTTGCTAACGTCTGACATAGATTTAAAATCCTAAAAGAAATAAAATTATACAATGGAAGGAGAAAAGGTAAAATTTAAAATTGATCGGTTAATGATTTGAAAAACTAATAAATTTGTTAGACTTGCATACAATTTTATTATACTGTATATTTTTTATGAGAGCTGAACAAGGTGCAAGGAACTGAAACAAAAATTAAAATTGTGAATGCCATAGTTTCAAACTTAAGGTGGTGTTGGTTTACTAATTTATTTTACTCTATCTGGAATTGGTTAGTCTAGTTTGGGACATATAAACCTGCATTTGTTTTGTTTTCTTATTTTTGTTTCTGTTTATGTTTTTTCCCCTCTCTAGGAAAGATGAGTTAGGGAAATGATTCAGAAACAGGTGTTATTGAAATCTTGTTCCTTTTGTGATTTTTCGATATTGTTAGCTCAATGGGGGTCATTTCTAACATGAACACGACACGTGTATATGAAGACGGTTTGCTTTAGAAACGGGTTGATGGGTAAAACACGAACATATGTTTAATTATCATGCCAATTTGGGTTGACACGATTACGACCTGAACACGATTAAGTCCAATCTAAACGCAATTATCCCCTGTCATGTCAAGTATTGCCAGCACTAGTGGAGCCCGGCCCTTCATTGGTTATGCTACCTATAGTATCATAGTTGTCAAAGGCGCACTTGAGGCAAGAGGAGCCTCAAGGTCGTGCCTAGGTAGGCAAAAGGCGAGTTGAAGAAGGTGCGAGCTTTTTGCTACTGGTAGCTACGCGCATTTCACACCTAATTATTGTGGAATTAAATGAATGCAATTCTTTCAACAAATGAGCTCTCCCAATTGTGGTCGAACTAAATAATATATTACTTTAATGAATATTATTCTGTCAACAAATCTCTTCGCCTAGTTGTGGTGGAACTAAATAATATATTAGCTTAGTGAATACCATTCTTTCAATAAATCAGCGACGGAACTAAATGAACACAATTCCTTCAACAAATGAGCTCATCTAATTGTGGTTGAACTGTATAATATATTTACCTTAAGATCAACTAGCCTAATTGTGGTCGAACTTAATAATATATTACAATGAATATGATTCTTTCAACAAATGAGCTAGTTTAATTTTGGTCCAACTGAATAATACACACCTTAATGAAAACTATTCTTTCAACAAATGAGCTAGTCTAATTTTTCTCCAACTAAATAATATATTACCTTAATGAATACCTTTCCTTCAACAAATCAACTAGCCTAATTGTGGTCGAACTAAATAATATATTACAGTAATGAATGCCAATTTTCAACACATCATCTGATAGAAGATAGGAAGTGAAAGTGTTTTTTTAACTGTGCACAAATGTTTATGTATATCATCAGCCTCTTGTAGTGTTCTCTACACTTGAATTATTTTTCTTGTTCTCTTCTCTACACTTGTATTAACTTTCTTGTCTCTTAAAATTAATGCAAATTAGAAGACCATCTTCTATGGTTTTACCCTTAGTATACCAACGGACCACTAAGAATTAAATAAAGAAATGTTTGGAAGCCATGCCCAGTCTCTCATCAAGGTCGCTTTTCTAACTTGTATTAACTTTCTTGTCTTTTAAAATTAATGCAAATTAGAAGACCGACCTTGATGAGAGACTGGGCATGGCTTCCAAACAAGCTTCTTTATTTAATTCTTAGTGGTCCGTTGGTATACTAAGGGTAAAACCATAGAAGAGAAATTCTTACTAATTTGTGGTAATCAATCAAATACAAGGATTGCCCCGGTGGCCATTCCATCCATGAATGAATGAAGTACATGGTTCTTTATTTGGACAGGGACAATCAATGAACTGTATCAGACATTTTACCACGAAACTCAACAATCTTGAATGGAATTGCTGATTCTCAAAACTCGGTATCACCAGGCAGAAAAATGTTTCTCAGTATATTCATTATAGACTTCTGTGTTTACCGTTGCATTCTTTCTTTGCCTAGGTTGGGTTTTGACATGTTTCTGAGCTTTCTGAGACAACAATGTTAAATACAGAGCAGGGGAGAATTAAAAGATTGATAACCTGATTATCTTACTTATCAAAAAAAAAAAAAAAAAAAAAAAAAATTACAGAGCAGGGGAGAATGTTAGAGCAAAGATTTTGAAGGTAAACACATTATATTTGGAGCTTTTCTAAAGTATCGTTTACCATTGTTGTGTTTTATTGCTGATGACTAGACTGGTTGTAAGTCATGGATAATTGTAATTGGTAACCTGTTTGATAACAAGGGTTACATGATCAAAAGGGCAACTTCAATGATAGAATTTGAAGTTATGGCAGTATGAAAAACTTAGCCTTTTACTTTAGCAATGGAAGACCGTAGTATTGATTCTTCTGTTTCTCGATTGTTCATCAGGTAGATGTGGATCGTTCATATTTCAGTGATGACACTGGTATTTATGCAGCTTCATCACAAGGGTCTGATGATGCCATTGAAAAAAATAGTTTCACGATGGCCACTGAGTTCCTGATGAATTTGGGTTTTGAAAGTGAAAATAGGGAGCATCTAATTCCTACTGAAGTGGAAGCAAGGGCTTCCGTTCTTCCACTTGCAGTACCTCTTGATGATACAGAGAACTCTGAATTGGAAAATGTAGACCGTCGGGATATAGAGAATGTTGATGATGCAGACACAATGGATGAGAAGAACAAGAGATGCGCAAAAGAGAAGGCCAGGAAGAGAAGTAATATTGTTATTTACTTCGGTTCATTATCAGTAAATTGAGATCTAGTTATCTTCGATTTTACTATAAGATTGAAAATGTTTTACTCATTTATGGAAAAAAAAAATTTTTGTTACTCGGGGAACGTAAAATTAGAGCTGCTGAAGAAAGACTATTGGAGGATAGTATCCCAAGCTCTGCTGATGAATTTGAGTTAGAAGGTTCCCAAATAGATGCTTTGTCTGGATAGATTACATAAAATTTATGCTCTCTTTGGCAGATGCTGAAAAGGCCCGCTCAATTGCTGAAAGGTATTCTTTTAATTCTGATATTAATTTCTTATTTATGGTAGGTGCATAATCCCAAGGGGATGAAGCTGTTTGTCAGGGCCCAAGCATGAGAAGGGTTTCATCTTGGCTCCAAAACTCCCCCTTTAAGCCAGTTTTAGAATTTAATTTACTTGGAAATATTTTACGTTGAAACATACGGAACCTTACTTGGTAAAAATAACAAAAATGTAAATAAACACGAGACCTTAAATTGTTTTAAGTAAGAACATGATTTAGTTGGGGCACGGCAACCGGCATATTTTAAGATTTGTCCTACTATTATTACTACTTTTTTAAGTGGTGAAGGAAAATGGTGATAAGCTGATGAATCATGGTATTTGTTACCATTGATTTTTTTTTTTTGGTTCATGGGTATTAAGCAATACGTTCTTTAAAATTATAGGTATGGTTGAGGCTATATCAGTGTGTCCTGGAGCATAACCCAGACCGAGTTGAGGTTGTTAGAAATCGTGCTTTTCTAAGCCTTCCCCGCCGTAACCATGTTAAGTTCATTTCGCATTCAGCTATCATCGAGTTCAAGAAGAGGGTTCCTGATAGAGGCCGATCCCTGCTCGAGGGAATTCTTCGGACATACCCAAAAAGAAGAGATTTGTGGAATATTTATATTGATCAAGTAAAATTCCTTTTTGCTGTTTAACTTTTAACGTGCTGTTTAACTACATATTTATCTCACAAATTATCTTAAATAACAGGAAATTCTACTTGGTGATGTGGATCTGATTCGTGCGTTATTTGAGAGGGGCATCAGTTTGAGCCTTCGTCCTACAAAGACGAAGGTGTGTACGCTTCATTGATCTTTCCCTCTTCCTTTCTGTCTAACCATATTGTCTATTTCCTTGCTGTTGGGCCTTTACATGTGTTTTGTTTTCGTAATCTGTAGTGGTTCTTTGAAAAGTATCTCGATTATGAGAAATCTCTTGGTGATAAAGAACAGATTGATTATGTCAAGAGGAACGCAATGGAATATGTTGAGAGCACACTTTATTAATACTTGCACTGGTAATGAATTTCTGTTCCTGCTTTGCTGACAAACTGGATTTGTACATTTGCTATGTCTTTAGCTCTATCAACAGAATCTGTATGTGTTAAAAGATATCTATGATTGAACTGAGTGAAGAGTCTTTAAAATGCCTACAGTCCTGTAAACATAAGAGTTTTGAATTTCCTTATCCTAATTCTGTGTAAACATTCATGTAGGATGATCATTTTCGTGCTCTGAAATCAGAAAATAAATTAAAAAAACCTCTTTATATATGGTTTCAATATGGCACTTGCGTATATTCCAGTTTACTAAATCCTGTTGTTATCATACTAATATTATATTCGCTGATGATTATTATTAGTGTTCAATTATTGAGTTCGACATTGATCGGGAGGATATGCTAATTCAAATACCTAGTTAGGATACAGATAGGGGTGGCAAAAAGGTTCATGACTCCCCGTCAACCTGCTCCTGGGGAGGAAAAGAGGCATCACAAAAAGACCACGCATTTAAAAAGATTCAAAGGGATACGCTTCTCCTTTCTATTAAAAGGAGGCGGCTTACTCGAGCTGGTAGTGGGAGGTCTGTAATAAGAGAATCAGCGCTTAAGGGCATCCTGTGTTTTCAGATACCGCTATATAATTACAACCCATCTTGCTCCATGGATACAAAACACCCATGCTTTAGCACCTGGTTCAACTGTGCAACAGCAAGCCCAAGATTAACTTGGGGGTGGTGATTCAGTTGCACTGTATAATGGATTTGGGGGAACCATTTTGAAATACGGATCAAAAATGAGTTGACCTAATAACCAGTACATTTAACGTACCCCATATTCCTGTGCGTATAAACAATTCCTCAATACTGCACGCGTTCTTGATTGATAGCATCCTCTCCGAAGTCACAAGATGGATTGCTAGAGCACTCTCATTTGCTGGAAGACTTCAATTGATCCAAGCAACACTTTCAGTATGCACATGTATTGGTCAAACTTGCGTATTTTACCAACAAAAGTGTGATAAAATGCACATATGATAAAATGAACCAGATTGTGGACATGCAATGCTGTGACTAAATTCAGTACTAAGGTGGAATGGGAGCAGGTCTACAGCAGCAAACAAGCGGGAGGTTTAGGCATCTATGATAAACAACAATGGAACGAGCTCGTTTGTTCGAATGAGACTTCCAAGTATATGGAAGGAATGGACTCTCAAGCTTTTGATCAAGTAGAAAAATTTATGGGATATTCCTATCCCAAATGGCTGTTCATTGTTCTGGAGAAAACTACTACAGAACTGACACTTCACAATGGCACGTCTACCATGGTCTTCTTTTATAACTAGGTTCCTTGTGGTCCCCTTTACCAGGTACTTTTTAATCTATTCTTAATGGATAAATTGCAGTGACACTCCCGATACCTTATTTTACAAATAAGGAGCCAAACACAGCCTTAAGTAACATGAAATGTCTAAGATGCCCTCTGATATATTTTCATCCTCACTTAAAATGACCAAACTACCCTCTCATCTCATCTCTGTTTCAATCAACATTGGCCACACAAAGCCAAATATGTACTTTCGTCATGTTTGTGGTGTCTTTGTTCAGTTTACCAAAATTGAGGGGTGTCATTATCCAAAAAATGCCCAAGTTGTATCCACCTGTCTTTTAAGCAAACTGAGGGGTGTCATTGCAATTTACCCAAAATTAATAAGTAAAATATACCCTTTTTTCCATACAACATGTTGATGAAAAATTAATAAATTACTTAAATAAAATATAGCTTCTTTTTCATACAATATATTCATAAAAAAATTACTTATCAAAAAAAAAAAAAAAAATATTCATAAAAAAATTAAGAAATTAATTAAATTATTTTAAACAAATTTACTTAAGATTTTCATTTAAACAATTAATTTCAAAAAGTAAAGGTAAATTTATGCAAATTTAACGGAGAATATGTTATCAAAGTAGTATGAATATTTTTCAATAAGAAAAATAAATTAAGTATAATTAAAAAAGAAAGGACATTGTGGTCATTTAATGAAATATAGTGTATACATTGAAAAATTTTATTATAAAATATAATAGTTCGGAGATATTATGCACAAAATATATTTTAAGAGGATTATTTACAAATTATAACATAATTCAAGGGGGTTATTTGCACTCTACCTCTACGTCCCATGTGAAACTTAAAACATAACCAAACGACCTTTAATTAAGGATTAAAAATGTAAATGTATTTTTTTTTTGGTTAACAGCCTTTGACTTTTTATCCTTGATTGCACTTTTTTATAATTTAGGGAACAATTTTTAATATAAGGAAATTTTGTACAATTGCTAATAGATCATGTGAATTTTTTTCAATTTACCCTAGATTTTTTTTTTGGTAATTTCTCTACCCATTGTGAGTCTGTGACCCCCTGGCGTCCTTCTTTAATAGGGGAACAACAACCAAAAACGACCGCATGCATACCATGTTATAATATCTATAATATTTATATCATCAAACATAAAAATGGCTTTATATGTTACATCCCCTTGTTGGAGGAGAAGTTGAGGGTATCTATCTGTGAAAATACGTTTTAAAAACTGAGAGCTTGGAAGGGTGATCAAAGCCACCATCATGCTGCGAAAATGGGATATTTATGCTGATGAGAACATTAAATCAGTGGTTAGACTGACATTGAAAAGAGCGGAAGATTGAATAACAGTGGGAAGACAATAATAAGGAAAAATGTGTTTATTTAGCATCATATTCCTGCAGATAAGAGTAGAATGAACCCAACATTGATCCTCGAATGTCATTATGAACTCAGTGTTCCATGATCAATGTATTACTTGGATGAACACGAAATACTATTTGATCGAGCCCATTCCATATCTACATTCGAGAGCAATTCAAGATTTAGTGGCTTGTAACAGGTGACAACTTGATCAATAAGCAAAACAAAAATACACGAGCCTTCTCCAAATCAATCACATGAATTCATAACATGTTCTCTTTTTGTAGCATAACTGTAGAGTCAGTAATAATTAACTCCAAATGTTCAACAACCAAAAAATTTAGACTCGAGAAATCATTTTCAACCCCTTTTTGATGAATGAAATAAGGAACCATTAATAACAAAACCGAGTCATAGCTTGTAAAACAGATTAGATGCACCTAGAGGCCGATTCGCGTATATGTTTCAAGCTGGGACATATGATTCCAGCATCAGTTGCGCTGGGGAAGGTGATTTGATCTCAACAATGAGATATGTGAACTTCCACTGATTGTCAACCTTGTCTTTGAACATCTCAGCGTAAACTTTGCCCGCTCCATGGGGCCCGCGAATATAAAAATTAACCTACATTCAATTGATCATACATCAGTGCTCCAAGGAAATTTCTAAAAGATTCTGTATTTGAAAATCAAGAATGTGACTACATCACCAGAACATCACAGGAATTTCTGCAAATATTAGCAGTTGCACAATTGACCAAATTCAAGAGTTTGAATTCAGTTATAAACTTTACAACACTAGTACATTACCTCAACATGTTCAACGCCATCTTCATCAGTCCATACCCTATTTGGAATCCGTTGGCGAGCAGCACGATTCCTACTTTCCTGGCCATAACCCTTGACAGGGGATCCAATTCTTACCCTAACCTGATGCAAGGCATATCTAAACCATTTGAACCATAAAAGCAATTACAATTATTCATTATTAAAGACCACCAATTAACCAGAATGATCCCTAAATGGCAAAGCAGTTGAATGAGAAAATACAAACAGGAAATGACGAATGTTGACAGCATTGATACTCCTTAATCGCATACATATATAAGGCTAAAACTGCAGGCTCTAAAATTACAAGAAATTTTCAACTCTATGATTGCCCCAAGACGAGGCTCAAAGGCTATTTAATAATGTCATTAGCACCAACAGTAGGGCCGTATGATTATGACTGGAGATGTAGATTATGCATGCATAGAATATATATTTTTTATTTTTATCTTTTCATCTCTCAAAATTTCAAGACCAACATATTCTTAAAGAAAAAGGGGCAAAAGCCCATATGCCAAATAAACTATGTTACATGGACTTGGGTAAGTGTGTTGGATATGGGTATGTATCCGTGTGTCGGACGTGTCAAATCTCTAAAGAGAAGGACACATGAACACTATTCATTTTATTTAATTATTCTATTTTATTTTTTAGAGTACAGTAATTTGTTTGTTTGTTTGTTTTTTTTTTTTTTTTTTTTTTTTTTTTTTTTAAGCGAGTAAATTAATGTTTTTATCTAATATAGGGTTCAATATAGGCATTTAACTCATTTTAAAGTAATAATATAATATAATTGAATGATGAGATACACTTTTAAAGTACGTGTCCAACCAAAAGTGTCAGACAAATATCCCATACCCATGTCCAACCAATAAGTGTCTCACACGGGTATTTCACCACTTTTGAAGAATCCATGTAACATAGCATATAAAGCAACATACTATAAAACTTTAACCCAAATGAAAAGAAAAAATCAACAAAAGATAAATGACCCAATTTACAATGATTCAGCTTTCTAACATGTTAGTGTTGATTTTGCATACATTGAACTCATCTAAATGTCTTAAAGATTTAATTTTTCATTGAGAACTTATTTATTACGCGCTAAAGTATTTTGAAGCTACCGATCCACATTGTAGTTTTTCACCAATTCATCGCAGCTATTGATTGAATCAGAAGTTCATTGTAGCATTTTCCAACTCTGTTTCATAGACTCTTCTAAACATGTAAAGCAGTAGTGCTGAAGGCATGACACCGAGGCATGCTACGGTAGATAATGTCAGACTTAACTGATTCAACATGCTCCGAGCAAACATACGATTACACAAAAAATTCTTTTATCATACTTTTTTTGGTAACATTATTCCTTTAAAATGAATGGAGTGCCCATGCTAAACAGTTTTTTTACATAAAAATCATTTTATCTCATGGAGAAAGTAAAAATATTAAAATATGAATATTATCCATGTCTCCATGTCATTGGATTTTGGGGGTTTGATAATATCGACACTTAAGACATACCTAAACCCTATGAACATAGCCAAATTCAAGTAACTTAGCTTACCACCTCTCTAACTCTTAAGATGTTGACCAATGGCATGTATGAATATCCTACTTCTTGTCCTCTCTTGTGTGTGTGTGTGGGAGCGCGAGCGCGAGCGCGATCGCATACGTGTGTGTGTTTAGAAGATATTTAATCTATGGCCCCACAGAACAATACATGGGGATATACATTTGTTGTTCAAGGCTCGGTATTCACATTTGAACGATTTTTTATACTTTTTCATCTGTATGTTTTTTCCTCAGTAAAAGGAGAGGAATTCTGATGCTTATTATGCTTCGAAGCGAACCACACTAGGCAATCCAAACCAACTTTGACCTAGTAAAATGCCAACAACCCAATTCCTCAAACTCCATCCAAACTGGTTAAGTGTTATAGAGTTGGAAAAACAACTTAAAAATCTTAGCATCAAAACGGGAAAAAGTAAATAAAAAAATAATAATAATAAAAAAAAAAAAGAAAAAAAAAAGAAGAAGATGATTTGAACAAACCTGACTGTCATTTTGAACCCTATCCAGAGCCTTCCCAAAAATCTTGTACCTATAATAATAGATCACAGCTTTTAAATCTAGAAAAGTATAAAATTAAATGCAAGTCCTCAGATCACAGCATTCTAATCATATAACACAATTTTAACTGAAAATGTGCACCCTTACTCTTTCGGCTGAAATATAAGTTCCTTGAAAACAGCATATCCTGCAGCAGCAGCAACTCCAAGCCCTGCAAGAATGACAATACTGTAGGAAGCTCCCTCTGCAAACGTCACCGGCTTCTCAGGGATATTGTATGTTGGAGAATCAAAGGGATCCTCAACAGTAGATACGTCTTTTCTAGTCTGTTAAAAGGAATGTGAAAGAAAAAAGGCACTTAAAGTAGAAAACTTGTCAAATGTCAAGAAAGCCGCCAACCCCCCCCCCCCCCCCCCCCCCCCCAACACATACACACACAAAATAAAAAATTGAATCTAAAGCAATAGTAGCATTGTCTAGAAATACAAAATAAAAGTGTTTTGGTGGCCTTCCATCTGGAAAATCATTAATTGAACTTTTGCATTGGCAGTAGGGTCTGAAAGTAGAAGCTTCTTCCTTTTACTAATTCAGGATTTGTGTGATCCTCATGATAGAAGTTTCAACCTCCACTTAATAGGACAGTACTTGCTTCCTCACCTATCAGGAGGGACTCCTTCCTGATAGGTGATGTGGTGCAATATTATATAGACACGTGTACCATAAATTATAAAATTTATAAAAGAAAAGAAAGTGAATGAACGAGACCTATCAGGAGGGAGTTCCCCTTTATAGGTGAGAAGGCAAGTATTGTCCATAGAAGAAAACAAAATCTTTCCAAACTACAACTTAATAAATTAATAGGTTAGAAATCTAATCCCATCCAAGATTTTAATGACACAGATGACACTTTCTGATGCAATCTAAAGAGATCAAGTCAAATAAAATATGGGATAGTGGCTTTAGTTTAATGCAGGACCGTTTGGAACCTTGCATAGTCAAGTTCTAGTTCAAGTCTCTCTCTTCTTTCCCTCTAAAAAATTGAAGTTAATAAGTACAAGGTTCAGATTTATATATTTTCTTATGCTTCAGAACTTGACAGTGTCTTGGTAGTTTCAGAATTTTGTAGTCATATGCAGATTGCAGTAGTGGTGGTTCACGGGTTTCCGGGTCACATTATGTTCTTGGGTTGTTAGGTGCAGTCTTTAGTTGTTCTATGAGTAGCAGAACTTTCCAAAATCTTTAGTTTCGAAAGTTTGAGTTAAGTAGTATTATTTTTTTTGATAAGTAGTTTACTAGTTTGAGTAAAGTATTATTAGAAGTGTATATATAGCTATGGAACCTATCTTTTTTATTTATTTAAGAATTTTGAAATTATTAACAGATTGATGTTCTTTTATTTTGATTCTTTTGAAGTAATAAGAGAAATAATCCACAGTATTTTTGAGGAAATTTTTGTAAAGAATGGCATTACTTTTAAAAACAAGCTCAGAAACTCTTACTCAAACTCAAACGAGTCAAACCTCAGAAGTGTTCCGTTGTGATGACTCCGAAGCTTTTGAGGCAAAAGATCTAGCAAGGCAAGGACCATTGACAGCTGCCCTATTTTCACTTAGTTGAAACAGTGACTGACGGCTCATCAAAGATTCTCCACTCCACCGCCTTCTAAACAAAACAGGGATTCCTGCCAAAAAATAATACCAGTTAATTAAGAGCAACTAAAGGAAATACAAAACATATACCTACAAACTACAAGATTCTACTCTACTATTCCCTTAGCTCTTGGCCATTCATATGCATTTATCAATCACGTGGCACAACCTAGAGTGTATGCTACTTATCAATAAGATTCTGATGGTGACGGATAAACTCAGGATAACACTAAAGAGCAAGTCGGATCTACTTACCAGTGCCTCAATTTTGCATCCAACAATTTATTTAAATACATATAGGGATTCTTTCCTTAGAATTGTGCAAAGAGTTTTGGCCTACGCAATTTTGAGCATTCGGTTCTTTTAAATGACGTTACACAAGGTTGCAACACCTAATGAACAGAATTTTGTTGCACAAAACAATTTGCCTGCATCATTGCATCTGATAACAGCTATTGAAAACACTGCATAATTTGTTTTGCAATGATTGATGGGTCCAATTGCGCAAAACAATTAAAAGGGGATCAATAAATAGAAGGGAAAAGGAGAAGTTTACCAACATAACCTCAAAGAATTGTCCATTATGCATTAAGATAAAGGAGAAGATGAAAATAAGTTAATGAAGTAATACATTCCCTTTGAAGAAGCCCCATCTGAATTAATTAAATACTCTTTAGCAAGTCATTTTGTCCTATAAATTTTCTGAAAATCTTCTTTAGAATGCAAGAGAACCTAATAGATTGATGGTACCTTTTTCTTTTAGGAGCAAAAAATAAGACCATTTAGTATTTAATACTGCATTGAACCGTGTTCCCTAGAACAGAGATTACATTGCGCCTAGAAATCATAAACAAACTTTCCTATGAGAACATAGGTAATTTGGTATTTAAAGAACATGTCCACAAGACAATTCCAGGGAATGAACGAAAAAGAAATATTGCATGTGGACTTACCCAAGGATGAGAACAGTAATAATTAGTGATTAACTAAGAAATAATAAATAATAAAATGACATACTCACCCCTAGCTCCAAGTACATCCTGCAGAAGACATAAAAGGAAAAATGATCAGCAGAAGTAATGTATGAGCTTAATAAAGATAGGAAGAACAAAAACGGGTCTGGTCACAATAGGCATATGAATATTATCAATACATTGCTCCACAGAACCTGCCTTCAACTTCTGCAACCATATAATCATTGAAAAAAAAAAAAAAAAAAAACTCAAATTTCATATACCTACCACCTTGAAAATCACTTTCCGAAAAAAGAAAAAAAAAAAAGAAAGAAAAAGGTGCACTCGAATAACTAGGCACCATGCAAAACTAGAGGCAGAAATGTAACATGAAGTCATTTCTAACTGTCCCGCCCATTCTTTTATCAAAGCAACTTAAGATTGATGATTTACCAATATGACATTATCAGGTGAATGAATCACAATGGTGACGGAATATTCTAAATCTGATGATCAAGGCGTTCAGGTTTAAGGGAAAAAGAGAATATAACTACAATACAAAATTCATAACTACAATAACTTCCGAAAAAAGAAGAAATCATAACTACAAAATGAAAGTCATGACCTATGACTATTGAATTACTGAGTTACTTGTTTCCACTAGTTTCCAGTAATAAACATAAGGATAACTTCTTATATAAATTTTTAATTTTTCTTATATTATTATCAATGCATTCTCATAAAAAACCATCAGAAGTCCAAAGAGGCCTGATTGGATTGCTTGCTAGACATAATTATACACAATGCTAACCATTTTCGGAAAAGTAAAAAAGTTCTATAGAAAACAAACAAAATCATAAAAGGGGTACCAATGATAACATACAAGAAAATCACCCAACAATAATAAAATAACCTAAAATCGTTTAGCAATTAAGAATATCCCTAAACGATAGACGAAAAACATAAATTTGTACCCTTTTCGCGAAATCGTTGATTGCAGCTCTCTCCGTGGCCGTAGACGAAAAGCGAGCAAGACCCACATCAGATACACACTTCATGGGCTTATACTCCATGAAAGAGCACATCCCATTGTAGGGTTTCAGTATATTAGAGCATCTATTCTTGATTGAAAAACCAGTTCGCCTAATATGGTTCATCGTTACAGGGTTGTATTGATGTTCGAAACAACAGTTATTGTGACTTAAAAATCATAATAAGCTTTGAATAAATAAACGATTAAATAAACCCGAGTAGCGAAAAATGGAAACCCAGAGAGAATAAATATATCGAACACTAACTTGCACCAAAAACCTAAACCCAGAGAGAGAGAAGAGAGAGGTAGACTTGGGGACTGACCAAAAAACCCAATACCCGAACTGGGGTTTTTGTTGCAGGCACGTGCCAAGAGAAGATGCACGTGATATGCCCACAGGGGCCTGCTCAGGCCTGGCCCGTTCGTCAATGGGTTCGGCTGGCCTAAAAATTTTAAAAACCCCGTCAATGGGTTGGGCTGGCCTAAAAATTTTAAAAACCCAAGCCCATGCCCCCTTTTTCAGGATTAGTGGGTGCGTAGTGGCAGTAACCGTCTCAACCGTCACTATGAAAAAACACACATAAACAGAGAATTGCAGACAAAATCAAGAAGTAAAATATATTTGTTGAGAGATTAGGGTTTTGAAACAAAAAAATTGAAAATTGGGTGGGTAAATAAATGATGAATGGGAAGAGATATCATCATTATCATCATCATGTGTATGATGAAATGGGTGAGATAAAGAAAGGGCCATGGAAGGCTGAAGAAGATGAAGTTCTGATAAACCATGTGAAGAAGTATGGTCCCAGAGATTGGAGCTCCATTCGATCCAAAGGCCTTTTGCAACGCACTGGCAAGTCTTGTCGCCTTCGTTGGGTTAATAAACTCAGACCCAACTTGAAGAAGTATGAATTTCTTCACTAATTTCACATCTCTGTGTGCATATATACATGTATATGTCTATTGGCCTATGTATATTTGGGGTCTTAATATTATTTGCGTTTTTATGATATTTAAGGAGTATATTGGTAATGGGTTTTCGTTTCAATTGATGTCGTTTACTCTCAACTGAAGAATTATGCACGTACGGCAACATAATACTTGTTCTTTTTCCTGTGTGTATGACTGTGTGTGTATATTTGTGTTGATTTTCATATGTATGTTTAGAGATTTTTTGCGTTCATATGATTTACAAGGAAGATGTTGATAATGGGTCTCTCTCTTATCTACTACATTACTATATGATGGGGTGGGACCGGAAAATATCTGTATTTATATGTATGTATCTGTTTGATGAAAATGTATATGATGATTCTCTCTCTCTCTGTTTTTTAAAAGTGGAGTAAAGTTTTCAGCAGAGGAGGAGAGGATAGTGATAGAACTTCAGGCAGAATTTGGGAACAAGTGGGCAAGAATAGCTACGTATTTGCCGGGAAGGACGGACAATGATGTGAAGAATTTCTGGAGCAGTAGGCAGAAGAGATTGGCCAGGATTCTGCAGACACCCACAACATCATCCAAATTAGAGAAGAACAGAAGTGCAGTTGCTGTTCTTCATCATGCACCATCTCTGGAGGTAATAAATTTAAACCACGGTATATCTGTGTGTGTAATATGTATGTATCCATATGTATATGTGTGTCCATGTTGCTGGTGATACTTTATTTGATCTCTTGTTAGATTCAATGACTTATTGGTTATGAATTTAATACAAATGTGGAATCTTAAGTCATTTTTATGGTTATATATAATGGAACAATATTTAGTGGGTCTATTCACATTGGACTTGTAGATCTTGCTTGTTTGTATAGCATTTGAAGGTACAAAATGAAAGATTGATCTGTCTATCAGTTCAAATACTATGTCATAAGACAATTTGATGATTGTGGTGCATTAACATCCAAAACTGCCTTTAGTGTTTGATCTTTGTTAGACCATTTAAGACAAATTGACGACTGATGAAACATAAGTATGTTATATTACAATTTTGCAGGGTTTCAAATGTCTTAAAATTTTATGTAGTCTGCAATCTGTCATCATCAATAAATGTAGAATTTGATATCAAATCTCTTCAAGGAGTTTCTGTACTGTTACACAATACTATTGTTTATTCTTATTGTTATTAAAGCAGAATCCGCTGACTACGTGCCTGCGTGCGTGTCTATGTGTTCTTGATATATCTAGGCACCCAAGTTCAGTTCTTCAACAGAAGAAGAATCGTCCTCTAAGTCCCAGTTTTGCTCATCGTCGCACTTTGATAACTCTGAAATGATCAAAATGGTGCCTTTACCTGACCTAATGAACCCCAACTTGCTTAATTTTGATCCTAACCTTCTTCAATTACAGTTCACCCCTTCTGAGGAGAATATATGCAATGAGTCACAACCACAGTTCCCATTCAGTGTGCTTCCGCCACCACTCCAATCCGTCCTACCACTATCGTTTGAAAGCCAAGAACTTGTTACTAGGCTCGAGGATCCTAACTTCTTGGATGCGTTTGGGCATGCCGATGCTTCTGAACTTGGAAGTGTAGCACACATTCAACTAGTGCAGCCATATTGTGGACAGGAAGGAGATTGTCAAAATGGCGGTAGGGGGGAAAATGACAACCCCATGACACCAGACAGCTTCTTCGATGACTTCCCAGCAGACATGTTTGATCATATTGAGCCACTTCCAAGCCCATCAGATTGGTGATTTGTTGATTTACTCTTTTTAGTTACAAATTTGATGAAGTGTTGTATGAAAACGTTACGTTACTGCTATTCTTTGTACTTCCTGCTGATCTAGAATTGATAATTTCACTCTTATTTTTCATGGATCGACTCATTTGACATATAAATTTGTGCTCTCAAAAATTAAACAATTCTGTAACATATGATTATTTTAACTCTCGCTTTTCTAGTACTGAGAAATTGCTGCACAGATTGGCAATTATAATTTATATGACGTTTAGTTGATCAATTTGTTTGACTTTGTAACACATATGCTGGACTCTGAGCGCAAATGCAGAGTCATGTTTGTGCAAAACTAATGCCAAAGATTAGGACCATCTCTATTATTTCTAAATTCACTTTGAACAAAAAATGATATGTCTTTCTTGTGCTGTATCAAATTAGATTTTCCACATTTAAGAGGATCTTGGTCATTTTTCAGAAAAACAAGTTCGTGAACAAAATATGAGGTTCTTTCTTCGGAGAGTTATACAATAACTAACTAAATATTTTTGACAAAACATATTAGTTCTTATTAAAAAGCTATGGACAAAGTCCAAGTACAAGCCAACAACAACAAATTTCAAACTACAATATTTGAGCCTTCCTGAATTTATAAATCCCAACACACAAAAGGATATTAAACGTGTTTATGATTCCTCCACTTACTCACCAACTTGGATAGCGACTTTGTTGAGGATCCATCTTCATTTAAGCCATTTCTAGCAGCGCTCTGCAAGGATTTCATTCTGTTGCGAATCAGACTCCCTTCTTCTGCTTCCATTAGACTGTTTGCTATTTTTGCAATTTCCTCTCGAACCACCAGACCATGTTCATTAGCTTGTGGACGCAAAGCCACTTTTAGTCCCTCATTTAGCATTAAAGAATTCATCTTTTGCTCTGCATAAAGTGGCCAAGCAATTAGTGGCACCCCATTGACCACACTTTCTAGTGTCGAGTTCCAACCACAGTGGGTTATGAACCCACCGGTTGAACCATGGCTCAGGACCTCCACCTGTGGTGCCCAAGAGTGCACCACCAGGCCTCGACCTTTGGTCCTGTCCAAAAACCCATTCGGTAAAAAACCATAAGGGTCATCTTGGCTTTGGACACTAAAGAATGCAGCATTGGCAGCTTTATCATTTGGGCTTCTTACAACCCACAAAAATCTTTGGCCGCTCATCTCCAATCCGAATGCCAATTCATTGAGCTGCTCACTAGAGAGGGTCCCACCACTCCCGAAAGCGACGAACAGGACCGAGCCACTTGGCTGATTATCCAGCCATTGCAAACACTCATGCCGATCCGGTCCGACATTTGAACCGGTCTGGATAAGAGGTCCAATGGGATAAATCGGCGGCTTACCCGATTCTTCTACTTGCAAAGCTTTTATGGCCCCCTCTTCCATATCCATGAAACAGTTCACTAAAATTCCTTCACATGAAGTGAACCGCTTTACCTGTTGAAGAAACCCCTTGTATGCTGGGTTGGAGCGGTCCTGAACCGGAGCTAGGAAATCTTTTCCCTGAACCGGGACGCAACCCGGAAGTTGAACCGGTTCAGCTAAGTCTCTATATTCACATGAAACTGTCTGATCAAGAATTGGCAAATGAAGGCAAAACAACAGAGTCATTGCCGACGATGGAAATAACAAGTATGGCGAGACGTGAAGCTCATTAGCGACGTTGAAGGCTTCGGTGCCGAATGGATCTACGACGAGAGCGACCAAATGGGTGGTCGCAATTAACGACTTCAACGTGTCGCGGAGGGAGGAAAGAGAGCCAGACATAGTGAGGAAGATTTTGGTCTCGGCGTTGATGTCCCGACTATGAGTGGAGTCGTGGAAGCTGACCGGTGGAAGAAAGATGTGATTTACGCCGACAGGGAGGGATTGGAGGACATCCTTTTGGGCTTTGGGTGGTGGTCCGGTGGTGGGGACGATGATGGTGACGGAGAAGTTGTGGTGAAGAACGAGTCGCTTGGCGAACTCGGCGAGTGGGATGAGGTGACCCATTCCTGGACTGGGTAGGATGGCTATATGGGGAGTTTGATCCATGGTTGCTATTTGTGTGTGAGTCGAATTTAATGTGGTGGTCTGGTTTGTGGGTTCAGTTTCAGTTTATAGGTCTCCTTCCTTTTCATTTGTGAGTAAAGTAATGATAGACAATCCGTAAGGAATGACGTCACACAGTATTAAATTTATTCACTCGTGTATTCGTGTTCATATACATACAAGAAGGTGCCATGAAATGTATAACCTATTTTGGAATGTTGAAACATGACACATAATGGAATATCAAAACTTTTTCCAGTGCTCAGCAACTATTCATCTTGGAAGCTTAGCTAGCTTAGCTACTATTCTAAAAATAAAAAAAAAAAAATGAATTTGTGTTTGATGATATCTGTGTTTAATTTTTTAGTAAAGAAATAATAAAAATGATGAACTATTAAATTTAATAATATAATTATTTATTTTTATTTTTATTATTTATATTTAAAATAAGGTTTCATAATATTATTTTAAGTAGAATTAATTATTAATAAAGAATCACAACTTACGAAGACTCCCCCTCTGCCACCACGAAAGGGACGACAGAAGGAGAAACAAACGACAATCACAGATCTGACACAATCTCAGCTCGCAAAAAAGCGGCCAAAGTATGAGCCACTCGATTACCCTGACACCACACATGAATCAACCGAACAGATAAAAACCATCGCAAGTCCCGAGCAATATCAAAACAAAGAAAAGCAATTTCGGAAGGGCAAGACTGCTGACACAGCACCCCATCCACCACAACTTTAGAAACTTTAGAAAAACAAATTGATTATATGCTACTGTTGCCAAAGGGAAGAAGTCACCAAACAAGTTACCTATTTGAAACCAATAGAAAATATTATTTGGATAAAATAAGAATGTCAAATATGGTAGTAGTTGTTTTGCACCACTAGATAATTATATAGAAATGGTAAATTATATAGTAATTGTTTGGGTAATGCTATTGTGAGAGCGTATTCACAACCGCAGCGGTATGCTCTTGAATATGAATCGTTGGATTGTAAAGTCTTGAGATTGGTACCGACAAAAATTAAACATATGTATTAAACATATGTTTTTATTTTCATTTTTTGGGTCTTCTTCTCTCTTCTATCTCTTCTCACTCCTCTCAAACTTTCAGGTCTCTTTCGTTCTCTTCTTACCTTTTCCGCTCAGTTGATTATCCTCAAGTAACAGAGTTGCGAGTTGAGGAAGGCTGGTTAACTCCACCGGATTTTTACAGAACCCAAACACTCATTTTTTTTTTTTTTTGTCTATTTAAATCTAAGTCATTACACATACACAAAACACATTCATATACACACCTATATTTTCTGGGTTTGTGATTTTTTGGGAGAGATCTGTTGAAGAAATCAGAGACAGACGATTTTGATGATGGATTTTCTTCCCAGTCACTTGGCCATCGTCAGAGAATAAAAATCAGAGGCAATCAGAAAGGCAACTTCATCTGCGGGCATGGAGAACTTACCGGCGGGCATTGGACGGCGGCAACTTTCTCCTCTCTCTTCTTCGTCGACATTAATGAAGAAGAAAAAAAATTGAAGGGAAAAAGAAAAGAATGGAGAGAAAGAGAAAGCAGAGGAGATAGGAGGCTGATAGTTTGAGGAGAGAGAAACGAAAAGTTTGAGGAGAGAGAAGGGAGACAAAAAATAAAATAAAATAAAATATTTTTTTATTCCTAATCTCATGCATCTCCTGGATGCAACAGCTTTTCGCTCTCGTTACTCTCAATTATTTTGCATTATTAAATTTTTTAGATTTAATTTTACCTACATTTCCTGAACTTTGTCAATATTTCACACACACTCCCTCTGAATTTTATAATTATACCTACACCCCTGTCAGTAATCGCCGTTTAATTTACTAACAGAAGTATGTGATTTTATTATTTTACCCTTGAATTATATATTAAAATTTATAACTTAAATAAAAAAGACTTTTACACCCTCCCTTCTAACACTATTAAATTTCTCTCTCTACTCTCACACACACATATATTATACACTATATATATATATATATATATATATATATATATATATATATATATATTCTCCTTTGTGTTTCACTATTGCCGGCAACGAAGGAACTGGGTGAAGCGACCTCGACCTACCATCACCACGGCCAACCACCAATAACCATGTACATATACGCATACACATATACACACAGATACATAAATACGCAGACACATATACATTACACAAAGGCCTCAAGTTGTTAATCCACCTCAATCTGCAGTGATCTTCCCACACCTTTGCAAACTTGTAAATATAATTAAGTACCAAACATCATCAAATTAAACACAATTAATTAATTAATTGTCGCAGTAGTGGACTCACTAAAGAATTATTCGATGAATCAACGGAAGAGAAATATATATATATATACACACACACACTAGCCTGTTTGGGACAAAACTCCAGCAGTCATGACCATACTTGGTGATGTAACTCAAGAGCTTCTCATCTTCCTCTCGAGACCACAAACCTTTCCTTAGCTTTTTGTAACAGCACGAGTGTCTTCCCATTTTGGAAGGAAGACCCACCACTGCCCTACTCTGCTAATTCAAGCAGATATTATTCCCACCTCACTTAGCAAATTACAACTTTTTATTATTATTATTTTTTTAATTTGGTTGCAATCTGACAGTAATGGGAAAGAAAGAGTCTGAATTGTTTTTTGCTTTCTTGTAGGAGCGTTATGCTTGAAAAAATATAGGCACAGAGAGAGATTTTGATAAAGAAGGCTGGGAAAATGAAGTAGCAGCTGAGAGATTGAGGAAGCTGAATTATAATACAAGAGAAAAAGTCACTATAACTTCGCAGGAGCGTTTTGGTTAAGGTGGGAAAACAGCTAAGGCGAGACCACCAACGTGCAGTGAACAAAACACGATGCTTCGCCGGACTGAACTGAGCTTCATCAGACTTGGGATCGCCGGACTGAACTGGGTCGAGGTTGCTGTGAACTTTGCCTCCGTCGTCTTTGAACTGTCTTACCTCGTTCTTGTCTAGCGTTATGATCCAGCGTTTGGACTGAACTAAGGGTTCCTCCTATTTCAGTCCGGCGAGCAGCGATTCCTCAACGCACCTCGGTGAAACCCAATTCAAAACAGCCATAGACATGCCAGAGCTCTGTAGATGTATTCGGCCTAGCTCTGTGACTTAGTCACCATTGTCAAAACTGTAAGTTTCACCGGCCTTGTCACAGTCCACCTCATGTTGGTCATTTCATTCCATCAAACAGTCTCGTCCGCGTCCGCGTCCTCTATTGAAGCATGCCCGCCGTCCTCTTCACCGTAGTTTAGTAGCTTCATCGCCTGTCAGTTCACTCTCACCATTTCTCGCCGGCAAAAACAGCTTTGTCGTCGGTCCTTGCTGGTAAATTTTGTAGCTGCAATTCCCGTTTTGCATCGCCTAGTCATCCTTGCACACCTTTCAGACTTGTTTGGTCACCATCTTTTGGTGCGTGGATTAATATTGTGGGTTCAATTCCGGCGACTTACAAAGTTGAAGCCTGGGTTCTGTGATATGAGAACACAGTTATCTTTTTGCATTTATAAGTTAAGGGTAATTTTGTAAATTTGTATTGGTCAATGATATTAAAAATGTCATTTCAAAATATTGAAAAGGCAAAATTGGCTTTGTACTAATTTGTTCGTGCTAACACCGTCAGTTGCTTAACGGCAAGGGGTAATGTGCTATATAAACCAAAACCTCAAGGGACATTTTTACCCTCATTTTTATTGTCAATTGTGGAATGTATGAATTGGTTGATAGTTATATTTTTATTTATTCAATTAACTGCCGGATGGATTGGATTGTATGCACCGGTATGGGACGGTGACATACTAGGTTTGGATTGGCTCAAAATTGTTATATCCTACCTATACGGAATAAGGTAATGGATTAAAAATAAATCCTACTTATATTTAGGCTAAGTCAAAGAAGCTGCACAAGCTGAATGACTAGCTGGATTACTGGTTATCTATGTTAAGTCTGTGCAGTTGAATAAGTTGAACGACTTACTAGATTTATTATGGATTGTTATGAACGGATTTTAAATATATTATTATGGTATCGTGACATGAGCTTGAGTCTCAGAGTCGACGGTTAGGGAGCGTATATGCAGTAGGATGCGTAGCTGGCTATGCTGGTTGTGGTGTACCCTGTTAGGCTTAGGTAGTCATGCCCACTCAGGTGCGTTTTGCATGTTGCCTTCTACTCAGGTTGAGACCCATATCATAGTCCAGCGAGAGTCCATAGTATGGATATATATATATATATATATATACACGACTTATATAGTTATTGTTGAGTTGGTTAGAGTGTATATGCGTATCGAGTCTCTGTTTGGATTGTAGTAGGTTAGAACTTGTTCGTGGACCTGACCCACTCCTATTTTCCAGGTGTACGTCAGTTCCAGGCTTGAGCTTGTTCGTGCTGGGCAGAGAAGATTTTCCATTCTACCGACGATGTAGGACTTCTTTCCAGATATTTGATTTGGATTTTATCTTCAGTTTACTTTCATTTCAGTTTAGTTTTTAGGGGTCCACTGGAGATGGATTCCCGAGTTGTTAACTTATGGAGGTTTTGGATTATTGAGATTTAAGTATATTTAATATTAAAGGTTTTTTTTATATTTAGTTTTCTTTCAGCTTAAACTTTATTTATCAAATTCATTTTGTCATCTGTGTTCGTATAAAATACTTTAATTGTTTGATATTCTCTCGGGTTTGGGCCTAGGCCTGATCAACCCGTGTTTCGGATCCGAGGGGTATTACAGTTGGTATCAGAGCACTCCGGGTTCAAGTGTCTCTAAGACGTTTTGTATTAAGACTTCCGCGTAGCATTTTTTTATATAGAGCTCATGTTTAGGATTCGTTGAATTCTTTTACGGTTCGTTTAAACTCGTACTGATGTCTGTCTTTCTATGTTAACAGCATGGTTAACACTGGAAGAGGACAGAACATGAACAGTCGACAGAGGAGAGCGGCATGTAGACAGCGGGAACGTCTACAACATCGGCAAATGGAAGAAGAGCAGCAAACGCCAGGGTTTCAGGAGGAAGTTCAACAAGCTCAGGG